TTACTGAAGACCCTTAAAGGTTCTTTTATTAAAATATGACCTTTGAAATCTTCTCTATTGACAAACTCTTCAGGAGTTGATCTACAGACAGGAGGCCTTTAAAAGTTTTTAAGTAGAAGGAACCCCTTTAAAAGCTCTTATATTGACTCTTGTAATGAAAAGTCCTTTGGAAATCTTTTATTGACAACGCTTTAAAGTTCAGAAGTACTTTAAAAGCATTTCAACTGAAGGATGTCCTTCAAAAGCTTTTCCCCAATAGCATTTTTTTATAGACAATAATTAAAAATTTTGAAGGGTTTTAAAAGTTGTTCGAAGACTCTTTCACAGAAGACCCTACAAAACATTTTTATCTGTAGAAAATCATTAAAAGCTTTTTAACGACGGGAAAACTTTAATGTTGTGTAATTGAAAACAGACATATGAAAGCCCCTTTATTTTCAGAATACTTCTAAAGGTTCTTTTGTTGTCATCTGTCCATCGAAGGGCTTTTAAGGAACGTCTGTCCTAAAGCTTTTCCATTAACAGTAGATCCTTAAATATTTTTTTATAGAGAGAAAAACAATAAAAACAATTTTATTCACAAAGGGGTTTTAGCCCCCCTTCTTCTATAGAATAACGACTCTGTTCCAGATCCTGCGAGAATCTACTAGTTTTGCAAAGGAAAAATCGGTTATGATAGTAAAAAGTTTAACATTCTTGCCGTTCTAGAAAAGAGCATTTTATTAACAGAAGAGCACTTTATTTCATTGAGAGAATACCTTTAAAAGACTTTCTAATTACATAAGATTTTTAAAAGCTTTTCTATTGAAATAATAGTTTTCTCTTGATAAATGCTTTTTTAAAACTCTTCTTTTTAGAGAAAAAAAAGTCATTTAAAAGCTCGATCATTGCAGAATACATCTGAAGCTATTCTATTGGCAACCTGCTTATATAGATACGATAGCTTTAAAAGCTCTTCTCAGAGGATACCTTTAAAAGCACATGTATTGCCAGAATGTCCTTTAAAGCTCTCGTGAAAGCCTTCTTTTATAAATGAGAAATATTTTCGAATCTTATGTTTACAGAAGAGCTTTAATTCCGTTGATAGAATAACTTTCAAAGCGTTTCCAATTACGAAAGATATTTAGAAGCGTTTCTTCAGAGAAGATTTTTAAAACCTCTTTTTTGGCAAAAGAAAGTTTTTTTGATAGCTCTTTTTTAATAGCAGAATATATCTAAAACTTTTCTATTGATTACCCCCGTTTTTAAATTCAAGAGCTTTAAACGTCCTATTATTTACAGACGAAAAATGTTTTTCGAGTGACAAAAGATATTTAAAAGATTTGCTATTGAAATAAAAGTACTCCCTTGATATACGATTTTCTAAATCTCTTCTCTTGAAAGAATAAAGTCCTTTAACAAGAAGCTTTTGAAAACTCTTTCATTGCAGACCTCTAAAGCTTTTATATTGGCAAACCGCTTTTATAGATACAAGAGCTTTAAATTTTTTTGACAGACGAAGAACTTTGAAAACTCTTCCCTTGAGAGAAGATCTTCAAAAGCTCTACCATAGACTGAAGATGTTTAAAAGCACATCCAATGAAAAAAGAAGAGCTTTAAAATCTTTCTTTTCAAAGAAGTTTAGTTTTTTGGCATCCATAGAAGGCATTGTAGAGGCCTGCTTCTTATAGAAGGACCTGTCGTCTTTTAAAGGAAATTTATTCCATAATTCTGAAATTTTTCCCTTTCTGCCATCCCTATCAAGCTACTAACTGACTAACTAACTAACTGGGTGGCAGTGTTGTTGTTGTTGTAGTGGTTATTGTTGTTCCTGACATGTCTTTCAACATTTGTAGTTTACTGTAAATCTGCATAACAATTAGCAACACTGAGGTATTTTACTACACTCTTAACAACAACCTCAACTTGTTGCAGCTTGAGAAGAGGTTTCTAAATTTGGCTTCTGCTTCTTCTTTCATGGCTGATTCGCTGACGTTGTGGCCTGCCTATGACGTGTTCTTGCTGCAATTCAATTTGCATAAAAGAAAATAATTCATAGATAATTCTATTCTTTGTTCGCTACAACCAGCCGGTGATGGAATGATGGGAGAGAAAAGAAAATGCATGGATTTTTCCTCGGATGTAAATGAATGGCATCATACCCATGATGTGTTGTAGTAGGGAAATTCTTTTGTAGGGGGAAAAGATTTTTCTGGAGGAAAAGTTTTTTTTTTTAATTTTTTGCATTGGAATCGAAATTTAATGGTTGGCAGGGATGGGAATTTTATTTTTAATAGCGCCTTCCGAATTAATAGCATGCTTACAGTTGAGGTTTTTATCGGGTTAGCCCTCTTTTGAAATATGTGGAATAGAATTGGCAAATTTAAATCCAACCTTAATTGAATCCAGCATACAGTAAACATTCTATAACCAGCACTGTATAGGCTTTCGAATCTGGTCAATTAAAGATGACACATATGCTAGAGTTATTTTTCCTTTACCGAAAATCATTTTTTTCAGATTCCAATGCCATCTGAGCAACAGTCACCCCCCATCATCTGCCACTTTCTTATTTCTTTGTCAGGAAATCGTCTTTATGTAAAACCTGTTGGAGATATTTTTCAGATGACTCAGAATTAACTCCCAGGTTAATTTCTCTCTCTACTAAAGTGGCAAATCGAAAGGAAACCAAAAATTCTTTCTTTATTCTGTTAATCTGTTTATGGGTTCTTTTGTTGTTTTTGGAAATGATTTCTTGGTTGAAAAAATCTTGGGAGTGAGTCTGGCGACCGCAATTGTTTGTTTGGCGTTGTGGTGACTCATTTGCCTCTTAATGCGTGTCGTCCAAAGCGTTAACCGTTTTGCCTGCCTGACTTCTTATCCCAGGCGACGTTGACATACACATCGTCACCGTCGTGGCTTTGGTCACAGGGCCCAGCAACCGACCGACCAACCACTTGTGACATGCGTCTGTTTTATGTCTTGGATTAATGTTTTGTCGTTAACTTGTCGTTTGACAGATATCGGGTATTAGTCATTGGTGTGACATGACGTGACGCCAACGCTGCATAGATTTGTAAATTGTAAATAGAAATTTTATTGCCATTACTGGGAGTTGGAGAAGAAATTATAATGGTTTATTGTCAGATTAGAAGGAAATGAGTGTTGGATAGAGAGGGTATTAGAGGAGTTATTGTGACATAATGTACAAATTGTTATTCACTTATATACGGCTAGATAAAAAGAAAAGAGCGAAGATAACAGGAGAGATATAAAAGGGTTTCAATAAAAATAAACACTTAAAAGGGTATCATAGAAGACAAGGAGGTCTTCTCATAGAAGACGAAGAGGTCTTCTCAAAAAGACGAAGAAGTCTTCTCATAGAAGACCAGAAGATCTTCTCATAGAAGACGAAGAAGTCTTTTCATAGAAGAGCAAGAGGTCTTCTTAAAGAAGACCAAGAGGACTCTTCATAGAAACGCAACAGGTCTTCGTAAAGAGGTCTTCTCATAGAAGACCAGGAGGATTTCTCATAGAAGACCAGGAGGTTTTCTCATAGAAAACCAGAGAGAGTGCAAGAGTTCTTCTCATAGAATACCAAGAGGTCTTCTCATAGAAATCAAAGAAATCTTCTCATAGAATACCAGAAGATTTTCTTATAGAAAACCAGAAGGTCTTCTTATAGAAGACAAGAAGATCTTCTTATAGAAGAGCAAGAAATCTTCTTGTAGAAGAGCAAGGGGTAACTTTAGAGAAGAGCAAGGAGATCTTCTCCAAGAAGACCAGGAGATATGCTCATAGAAGACCTGGAGGTCTTCTAATAGAAGACCATGAGGTCTTCTCATAGAAGGCCAAGAGGTTCCCTCATAGAAGGCCAAGAGGTTCCCTCATAGAAGGCCAAGAGGTCCCCTCATAGAATGCAAAGAGGTCCTCTCATAGAAGGCCAAGAGGTCTTCTCATAGAAGAGCCCGAGGTGTTCTTATAGAAGAGGACGAGGTTTTCTTATAGAAGACCTGGAGGTCTTCTCACAGAAGACCTGGAGGTCTTCTTATAGAAGACCTGGAGGTCTTCTTATAGAAGACCTGGAGGTCTTCTCACAGAAGACCTGGAGGTCTTCTCATAGAATACCTGGAGGTCTTCTCATAGAAAACCTGGAGGTCTTCTCATAGAAGTCCTGGAGGTCTTCTCATAGAAGACCTGCAGTTTTTCTCATAGAAGACCTGCAGTTCTTCTCATAGAAGACCTGCAGTTCTTCTCATAGAAGACCTGCAGTTCTTCTCATAGAAGACCTGCAGTTCTTCCCATAGAAGACCTGCAGTTCTTCTCATAGAAGACCTGCAGTTCTTCTCATAGAAGACCTGCAGTTCTTCTCATAGAAGACCTGGAGGTCTTCTCATTGAAGGCCTGGAGGTCTTCTCATTGAAGACCTGGAGGTCTTCTCATTGAAGACCTGGAGGTCTTCTCATTGAAGACCTGGAGGTCTTCTCATTAAAGACCTGGAGGTCTTCTCATTGAAGACCTGGAGGTCTTCTCATTGAAGACCTGGACGTCTTCTCATTGAAGACCTGGACGTCTTCTCATTGAAGACCTGGAGGTCTTCTCATTGAAGACCTGGATGTCTTCTCATTGAAGACGTGGAGGTCTTCTCATAGAGGACCTGGAGGTCTTCTCATAGGAGACCCGGAGGTCTTCTCATAGAAAACCAGAAAGTCTTCTCCTGGAAGGCCAGAAAGTCTTCTCCTAGAAGACCTCTTAAAGTTGAATAATAGGTCCTCTTATAGAAGGCCAAGAAACATAGCACTTTGTTCCCATATAATATCACAAGATATTATTACAGTTTTTAAGGTGTTCAAATTTATTAGTAACGTTGCATTGCTATAGCACACCCCTCTCTCTCTAACTCTCTCCCTCTTCTCTTTGGAGTACCATCTGTCAATCATTTCATTAATTGAATTTGTTGTTCCCCTCCAAATATCAAGTAAATTTAATTAATTTTCATTTTATTTCCTTTTAAATTTCAGTTGAAATACAATTTGAAGTGGACATAAATCAGCATCAAATCGCCCACCCACACACATACAGCGACGCACACACTCACACACTGCGAAAGATAGCTCCCTCCAACGGAAGACTTTATTTTTGAACAATAACAACGCCAACTTCATTTTGGACTAGAAATAACAAACGGCAGCAAGAACACCAACAACAACAACAGCTCAGCTAGTTGTTGCCAAATTGCCCTCCCCCCAACTACAACTAGACTCCCCAATAACAACAACAAACAACAGCAACCATACCAAAGATGCAGTGCAGTCTGGAACAAATGAACGACACCGAACGTTCACCAAATCGGACAAATCTTCGGGTGAACTTCAATGAAAAGGGCTCCGAAGTCAAAGAGCGTCGCGAAAAGTTCCTCACCGCCAAATATGGTTCACATCAGATGAGCTTGATTCGCAAGCGTTTGGCCGTCGAGATGTGGCTGTACGATGAATTGCAGAAATTGTTTGATCCGCCGGTAAGTCGTATTTTGTTGTTGCAAACGAAAAGAAACTCTTGAATTGGTCTGCGACATTGTTCTTCATGTCGCCAGATTTTCTGTTTAACAATTTTTTGTTATTATTAATTTGTTGCTTAAAGTTTATTTACTTCTTGAGTTTTGTTTTCGTTTTCGTCTTTTTGATTTCGGCATTAATTTGTTTCAGTTTTATAATTTTGTTGATTTGTTTGTTGATTTTTCCACGCTCTTCTCTTTCTTTGGTATTTATCAATGACGAATAATTGTTTATTGTTTTTTTCTTCGTTTGATTTATTTGTACTTTCAGACCGAAGCCATTGATGTGGATATCGATGAGATTTTAGACATGGACACCGATGATATAAGAAGATCTCATTTAATAGTGAGTATAAGAGTTTTTTTCAATATTTTATTTAAAAGAAAAGATGTAGGAGACCATAGGAATCTGAATTCCAATAGAAACCTTAATGTAGCCGGTTTGAATTGAAGATTTCCTGTGGAAACCTTAGTTGATCTGGGATTAATTGAAGTCCTTTCTTAAACCCTATATAAGAGTTCATTGTTTCATATTTTTATATCCTCCACCATAGTATGGAGGCTATATTAAGTTTGTAACACCTCGAAATATACCTTCTAGACTCCACATTCTTGATCAGCATAAAATTCTATGTCGATTTAGCGATGTCCGTACGTCTGTCCCTCTGTAGAAATCACTGTAGCTTCCGAACGAAATGAAGTAGGTTGATAAAATTTTACACAAATGTATATTATGTCTGTAGGATTTTTGGTATTGAAAATGGGTCATGTAGGTTTACGTTTTGGTATAGCCCCCATATAACGGTACCTCCCCATATTCGGTATTTTGATGATTTTAGTGATATTATTCACTGAAATCGTTTCAAATTTCGTATTTGAAGTTCATAATAGATACTACAGCCTATGACAGAAAATTGTCCGTGCAGGTTCACGTCTTCGTATAGCCCCCATATAACGGCACCTCCCGATATTCGGTATTTCCAGGATTTTCGCGACACTATTCATCGGAATTGCGTCAAATTTCGTATTTAAAGTTCGCAACGGGTACTATAGCCTATGACAGAAAATTGTCTATACAGGTCCAGGTCTTTGTATAGCCCCGATATAACGGTACCTCCCGATATTCGGTACATTGATGATTTTAGCGACATTATTCACCGGAATGGCGTCAAATTTCGCATTAGAAATTCGTAATGGATGCTATAGCCTATGACAGAAAATTGTGTGTGCAGGTCCACGTCTTCGTATAGCCCCCATATAACGGCACCTCCCGATATTCGGTGTTTTAATGATTTTAGAGACATTTTTCACCGGTATTATTCCAAATTTGGTATTTGAAGTTCGAAATGGATACTACAGCCTAAGACAGAAAATTGTCTGTCATCAGATTGGGAGAAAATCGGTTCAGACATAGCTATAGCTCCCATATATATGTTTCATCCAATTTCCACAAGAATGATATTTGGTACCAGATATCATATACAGCCCAGAAATACCTCTGTTAATTTTTATCGAGATCGGATCAGAAAAGGATATAGCTCCCATATATATCTTTATCCGTTATTAGAATTTTTGTGCACCAAATGGCTTATATCAGCCCAAGTAAAATAAGTTTTGACAATTCCAACTGAATTCGTCCTAGAAACAAGTATTTCAAATTAGGTGAAAATCGGTTCAGGCATAGCTATAGCTCCCATATATATGTTTTATCCGATTTGGGGTCCTAGGTCCCTTACATGCGTAATATGCACTCCACAACAATAATCTTTGGTACTAGATATCAGATAGAGCTTAGAAATAAGTGTTTACAATTTTGTCAAGATTGGTTCAGATTTGGATAAAGCTCCCATATATATCTTTATCCGATTTGCGGTTTTTTGTCCACCAAATGGCTAATCACAGCCCAATTGGACTGAATTTTGGCACTTCCGACGGAATTCAGCCTAAAAACACGTGCTTCAAATTTTGGTGAAAATCAGTTCAGATATAGCTATAGCTCCCATATAAATGTTTCACCCAAGTTGGTGTTAAAGTCCCTCACAGACGCAATATTCACTCCACAACAATACTATATGATACCGGACGTCAGATACAGCTCGAAAATACCTCTGCCAAATTTTATCGAGATCGGTTCAGATTGTTATATAGCTTCGATATACATCTTCATCCGATTTTGCGGTTATTGCTCACCATATAGGTTATATCAGCCCAAATTGAATAGATTTTTTCATATTCAACCGAATTTTTCTATTTGGTGAAACTTGGTCCGAGTTTCCTTATCGAAGTCTTATCAGGCCCCATACAACAATGTTATTTGGTTCATAGTTGCTATGATCTACTTCACATAAATTCCCAATGTAAACTTTTTTGTTACGTGGGATCTACTAACTACGCATAGTGCTGTAGGGTACCATAAAGTTGCCCCCGCCCGACTCTTGACCTTTCCTTACTGGGTTTAATTTGATTATTTGTTGATTTTTGTTTTTTCAAATTAATGTCATTTTCAATACCTTTCCTCATTTCAGCGATTATTGTCCGTCTGCAAACGCCCGCAATCTGACATATCCGTAAGTATTTCCTTATAACTGACCTCAATTCTAGAATTAATCCTCCACTTTCTCTTTTCTTTCAGAAATTCATCAGTGATCTTCTGGATCGGGCCAAAACGCTGTAAACGCATTTCACCCAGCCCTTTGTCTGCAAACAATACAAATTCTTTTCTTTTCGCAACAACTGATAAAAATTAATATGAGAAATAAATAAAAAATAGAAAGGAAGAAGAACAAAAAACAAACATCAAAGCCGTAAAACAAAATCATGAACAACCCAACTAAGGCGCGACCCCTCTCCACAGAATCATCTCTATAATCTAAACTAGTTTAGCTTATCAAACCATTCTTATTTTAATTTTTTTGTTTGTTAATTTATTATTTTTTGATAAATGTATGTATATCACTTTGTTTCCAATTTTATTTAAAAACCGAAACAAAAAAAAATATTTTGATAATAAAATTAACAATTAATTTAAGAAAATAATATCGAAAAAAAAAACTGTGGCAAATGATGAGAACCTGGCATACTCAAATTTAAAACTAAAGAGCCACAAGAAAAACATCATTGTTTAGTTTCAACACTCTCTCTCTCTCTCATCCACACTCACTCCCTCTCTTCTAATTAAGACAAAACAAACAATTCATTGATCACCACATACAAAGATAACCAATTATATGATTTTTATTTTAATTTTTTTTAACTTAATTTTTAAGTTTAGTTATATTGCATAAAAGAAAATTAAAAATATTTTATTTTAATATAATTTTTCGTAGTTGTAGTTTTAATAAACAAAACAAAAATTTAGTGTGCTTTATTTGAATTGATTTCTGGATATGTATTTGTTTGTAACTCAAGTGAGAAAAATATTACAAAGAAAAACAAACAACATAGAATTGTATTTGAAATGATCGGAAAACATAAAATAAATTTTACATTACAAAAAAAAATTGGGAATATTTTGGTTTTGTTTTTAATTTGATCTGTGTTTGATGAGGTATTAAAAAATTGAATGGACATAATTAAAGTCCTGTAGCCCCCATTCTTATTATATTTTGAGCATTTTGAAAGTGATTTGGACTGGAATGTTGTTATTTTTTATAGATATGACTCTCACCTCTAATGGATGACTTACGAGAAATTCGCTTCTATTGATGTTTAAAAATATGCCTTGCAATAAAATATCTCATAGAATGTAAAGGTGAGTCCATCATGGACAAAAACTCCCAATAAATTGAAATTCGAAGCATAGACAAATAAATTAACTGTTCCAGAACCTCAAGAATGTAACAGTTTTTACAATAACCGATTTTCCCTTTATGATATGGAAAATATTGCAAAACTAGTAGATTCTTGAAGGTTCTGGAACAGACAAAAAGGTATAGACTAAAACGTTTTAATGGTTGATCATTGGGACAGTAAGGTCACTCAGGGCTAGTAAAGTCACTCGACTTCAAAAACAATTTAATCACTTTTTCTACTATTTAAGTTCTATATTTTTATATTTCACATCATAGTTGGGTAATGTAAATGTAAACAATGCCACTGCATACTTTTCAATTGATAAATAATAATAATAATAATAATAATAATAATAATAATAATAATAATAATAATAATAATAATAATAATAATAATAATAATAATAATAATAATAATAATAATAATAATAATAATAATAATAATAATAATAATAATAATAATAATAATAATTCATAAAAATATTCGATATTTTGTGTTCTGAGAGAATTGAACGAATCTCTCTCACAGCATGAACAAATCACTTTTTCAAAGTTTACAGATGAGACAACTTTTTATACCATACACCACAAGGTGGTCAGTGCATTATATCTTTGTGCATTTCTTTATAACAGGCAAAAGGGAACGAGTTGACCCATAGATCCTATTGAAAATCTACATAGAATCACATTCTGTGTCAATGTATGCATGTCCGTCCGCCCGTCTGTCCATGTATTTTTGTAAAGAAAGTACAGATCGCATTTAATGCCCGATCCATATGAAATTTTGCACAAGTCATTTGTTTGACCTAAGGACGAACCCTAATGAAATTGGAGATAATCGATCAAAATTTAGATATAGCTCCCATATATGCATATCTTCGTCCGATTTGCCATATATTGTGCACCAAACGTGTAATATCAGCCCGAATAGTATGGAATTTGGCACATACAACCAAATTAGGCCTGGAAATAAGTATGCCAAATTTAATCGAAATCGGTTCAGATATAGCTATAGCTCCCATATATATTGTTTGATTTGATTGATTTGATATTTTTGTCTTCCGCAGCCGTAATATGCACTCTGTAACAACGATATTTGAGGAAATATATCAAATACACCATAGAAATACCTTTTCCAAATTTTATCGAGATCGATTGAGATTTTGATATAGCTCCTATATATAGTATTTTGTTGTTGCAAAATGGTTAGGCTTAATCCCTTTATTGTTGTTTTTATAAAAACAACATTTGTTTATTAGTGGAGAACGATGGTAATGTTTACCAGGGGGTAAGGCAGGGAATACCTAGGTTTCGGAAAGAGCCACCAATCCTCATCAGTTCCCTTGTTTTTTTGTCTGGGATATTCTCCCCAGAAGTTATTTTAAAAATAACTTCTATGATAAAAAAAAACATTTTTAATCCAAGTGATGAGATCGTAAGCTCAATAGAAGAGGAACCAAAGAATTAACGGCCCAACGTGACAAAAACGCTTGGTGCTGATGACTATGCGGGTTAGAATTTCAATTTTTATCCAGGTTATTTTCAGGATTTATTGCTTAATCAGGATTTATTTAACCAGATTTACCATACAAAAATAAACCTTCTAACGATTTATTTTAAATTCGCTGTGGAATCTACATTTTAATAGAAACCATCACTGGGTTTTCACTCCATAGCATGGTAGAAGAATACAGGTAGATGCATCAACGCTTAGGAACATTGATATGTCATTTTTATACCCTCCACCATACATAGTATGAAGTGTATATTGAGTTCGTCATTCCGTTGATAACTCATCGAAATAATAATTTATATTCTTGATCAGCGTAAAATTCTAAGACGATTTAGCCCTGACCGTCCGTTTGTTGTAATCCCGCTACAGTCAAAACGAATAAAGATAGGAAGCTACAATTTTGCACAGATCTGTCTTTTGTCTGCAGGCAGGTCAAGTTCGAAGATGGACTATATCGGTCCACGATATCGTATATCCTCCATATAACGGTATCCCCTGATATTCGGTATTTTGATGATTTTAGCCACAATTTTCAACAGAGTTGTCTGAAATTCTACACAAGGAGTTCTTTGTGAGCACTTTACCCCATGAAAGATAATTGTCAATATAGGTCCACGATTTCGTATAGCGCCCATATAACGGTACCCCCCGATATTCGGTATTTTGACGATTTTAGCCACATTTTTCAATTGATTTGTCTTAAATTCCACACAAGAAGTTCCTTGTGGGTACTTTACCCCCAGACGTAGATTTGTCTGTATAGGTCCACAATACTGTATATCACCCCTATAAATCGGCACCTTACGCTATTCGGTATTTTTAAGATTTTAACATAATTTTTAATGGATTTCATTTTTTTTTTTGTAAATATGCTAATTGGTGGGTATTCAAAGTTCAGCCCGGATGAACTTACTGCTTTTTTACTTGTTTTTTTTTAAATTTTTTTTGTGAAAAATAATCGGATTTTTATATGTTTTCTTATACGAAGCCAATCTGAGGTTATTATGATTTGCATTTTTCAAAACATTTAAAAATTCAAATAATTTTTCATCGAAAATTTTCAATTCCCAAATTGATTTGACAGATCATTGTCCCAGCAGCTGTGTTCTTTTACCATGCTCTAAAGTCGCAAATGCTTTCCGCAATGGAGCTGTTTACACGTTGCATTCAAACAATTTGATAACTTGACAATTTTTACAGAGTAAATTTTCTCAAAAAGAATTGTTAAACTCTCATGCATCAACGCTTGGGAACATTGATATGTCAACATTTTAAAAACATTTTGTCAAAAATAAGTAGATTTTTATATGTGTTCTTATACGACGCAAATCGGAGGTTATTGTCTTTTTTCAACAATTTTTACAAATTTCATTATTTTTTCATTCAACATTTTCTATTCCAAAATCGGTTTGACAGTTCATTGTCCCAGTAGCTGTGTCGATGCAACTACCTGTGTTCTACCATGGTAGCTCAGTAATGTCAAGTGAATTGCTATTTCATTTAATTTAATGGACTTTGGGTTATCAAATAGCATTTTGTTATAAATGTTGTCACCAATATGTGTTAAGCCTGTTCTATAATTGACATATTTGTATGGTTTCAATTGTATTTCAACATTTGATCAGGAAATTGATCTAACTGGATTGGACTGGTTTGGTTGGATTCTGTATATCACTTTCATTGTATTCAGGCAGAGTTTTTTTTTCTGTTTTTAAGACGTACTGCCCTTTTCTGACACTGTCTTGGTACTCTATCTGGTTTAAGTAGTAGAACCAATATACTACTTCTGTCCTATTTCGGAATCCTGGAATATATTCCGGTCATACATCTCATTTAAACTTTTATGATTTCCTTTATAGTTTTCCTTTTTTAGATATTTCAAAAATAGATTAACATTGGAATTTATCATTTTTTTAGTTTAGTTCTGCTTAAATTAACGGAATTGACAAAATTTCCAAAATCCATGAACAAGTTCAATTTAGTTTTATATAAGACATATATACATATACAAAAATATATACATTTTTAGGTGCTAATAAGTACAGACATACTCAACTACTTAACGTATTTTAGTTCATCATCAAAAAAAATATTTTTTTTTTTTACCAAAATGAAAATAGTTTACAAAATTTTATTTTATAAACAAATAAAACTTGATTAAGTAGAAATTAAAACCACATATTAATACATTCATCCATAATACGTAAAAATTATTTATTTATAATAAAACCAAATAGTTGTAAATGAAAAAAAAAGAAAAGCAACTACATTTCTTTTTTTAAACAAAGAACGAACCAAATTTTGTGTAATTTTGTCATAAAATAAAACATTAAATTAATGGAATAAATTAAAGCTTTGCAAAAAAAAATGTGTTGAATCATTGTTTCATTTTGTAGTGGATTTAAAGATTTAATTTATACTAATGAAGAAAACTCACTGGATTTATTAGATCCAGTGGCTTAATCTTGTGTGTTTAGATACACCCTTAGGACTTTATAAATGCCGGTCAGCTGATGTTAGTTTACGTATACATACACAATCAAAAGAGAATGCTCGATTTTTCAATCTTTCAACATTCTGAGTGAAATCTTTCAATTGCAGAATCCAAATTTTGTTTACTTTTCGAAATATTAAACAAAAATTGAATTTGTTTTTATTAAATTGACAAAATTTTAAATTTTACTAAAATAGTAGTTTTTTTGCCAGTAGTCGGCACCATTTTCCAATGCTCGGCAGCAAAAAAGTATTATTCAGTCAGTCAGCAAAAAAAAAAAATATTATTTTGTATATTCTTTATTTCAAATAGTATAAAACAATGCTATATTACTAATTCATTATTTGAAATTAATTTCGTTTTTAAATAGTGTTTTTTATTCAATTATCATTCTTAACCAAATATAGGTAGAAAATCAAGAATAGTATGGTTACCTTCAGTAACGTATGGATTTTCAATTAAAATAAAAATGAGATTTAATAAAAAAAGAAAAAAATTACCTTTCTTATATTTCTTTTTCCTTTAGATAGCCAACATTTTTTTTAAAAAAAATGCTTCCGTTGTCTAAAACCTCAAATAGCTGATTTAAAAAACCTTAATTTAGAAAAGTTGGTCAAAACTCAAAAACTATTTTTTTATTTGAGTAGTTTTTGGCCTTTTTTCATAATTTTCTCAAGTTTTGGTGAAATTGGTCAAAAATTACATTTTTCTAGTAATCGGCACCCCCTGCCGACTACTGGCAATTCTCTTTTTTTTCTGTTCCTAATGTCGGCTTTAAATAATATAACAGAAAAATTTTAATTTTTGTTTGTTTTTAAGCTATAAAATGATCTTTAGACTGTTATTTACTATTATTCCATTATTCTGATTCCAAAAGTATTAAATTTAATTTACTTAAATCGATTATTAAGTTGACACCATCACTAATTTTTTCTTTACAAACAAGCACCATCGCACCCGTTGGAAGACACTCACTGACAAAAACCGTTATTCTCTCGTAATAAATGATTGGCGCTCATTGTTTTTTTTTTACGGAAAGAGAGCAGAGAACACTGTTGACGTTTTTTTTGCAATTATTTCATTATTTGGTCAATTCTATTCTTAGTTTAAGTTTAAATTAACAAACTGCCGACTACTGGGTTATGCCAAACTTAGACGCACTTACCCTATAGAGACAATTGGTGTTGGAAAATAAGTATTTATTTACATTGAAGACCTTCTCCAAGGAAAATAATGCGTTTTAAACGGTCTGCTCTAGAGCTACAAGAATGTAAAAATGTTTACTACTATCATCGATTTTCCCTTTATGATATCAAAAAAATAGCAGATTCTAGCAGGTTTTGGAACAGTGCACATATTTATTATTCCGAGCAAATAAAATTTAACGTTTTCTTACCTTTTTTATCTTTATTTTGTTAAAAACAAAATTTGTTTTTTTTTTATTTTTGAAATTTTATTTTTCCAAAATTTCGACCATAATTTATGATCATCATCAGGGAATTGACTTAAATAAAAACAATAACAACGTTTGTTTATGAGTGGAGAACGATGGTAATGTTTACCAGGGGGTAAGGCAGGGAATACCTAGGTTTCGGAAAGAGCCACCAATCCTCATCAGTTCCCTTGTTTCTTGTCTGGGATATTCTCCCCAGAAGTTATTTAAAAAATAACTTCTATGACAAAAAAAATTTTTTACCCAAGTGACGAGATCGTAAGCTCAATAGAAGAGGAACAAAAGAATTACATAAAACTAAAATTCTTTTGGAAAATCTTCTAAATCTTACAACCGCACTTATAAACATTTACATCTTTCTCCACTTGTTATGCTTTCGTTCAACCTGAACGAAGTAACATAACCATGTAAGTTTGTTTTGTCTGTTACAACAAAAACCCCTTCGTCGACCGTGCCTGTGTCTATTAATAGAACAGTGTCTATTAATAGAACAGGTATTCCCTGCCTTACCCCCTGGTAAACAATAACAATCAAAGGCTTAATTCCAGTAGAATAGTTTTCTGCATGTTTTTATACAGGGTGAGACGTAAAAACTGAAACCAACTTCAGATTGCTATCATTTCTAAGCCACTCGTCCGACAGCTGTTAAAATTATTCCAGCAATTAAATGTGAATAAATCTTTTGTGTCTCGTACCATCGCTCGTTACCGTGATACTGGTACCGTAGCCCGACGTCAAGCAAGTGGACGGAAGAAAACAGCAACATCAGCAGAAAAGGTTCGAAAAGTAAAGAATGGCTCGTGAGCTGAACATATCACAATATTTCATTCGGCAAATATTGAAAGATGAACTCGGGGTAAAGCCATTGAAATTCCGAATTTGGTTTTCTCCGATGAGATTATATTCGTTATCCAGGAGTTTGTAAACAAACAAAATGATCGTGTTTACTTGCCAAAGTGGTCAGCCGAAAATGTGCACCTTCGGTTGGCCACCAGAACTCAAGCGCCGGCCATGGTGATGGTGTGGGCCGCCATAACAGCCGATGGTCGCTCTCCGCTCGTATTAATCGACCATGGCATCAGAATAAATGCCGAATATGGACACGCAAACATTTTGGCCGCAGACCTTGGACATTCCAACAGGACTCAGCACCAAAGAGGTCAGATTTACTTGCCAAAGAGGTCAACTGAAAATGTGCACCTTCGGTTGGCCACCAGAACTCAAGTGCCAGCCATGGTGATGGTGTGCGGCGCCATAACAGCCGATGGTCGCTCTCCGCTCGTATTAATCGACCACGTAAAGAAGGACGCAAACATTTTGGCCGCAGACCTTGCACATTCCAACAGGACTGCGTCAGATTTACTTGCCAAAGAGGTAGGAGCTGAAAATGCGCAACTTTGGTTGGCCACCAGAACTCAAGCGCCGGTCATGGTGTTGATGTGGGCCGACATAACCGCCGATGGTCGCTCTCCGCACGTATTAATCGATCGTGGCATCAGAATAAATGCCGAATATGGGCACGTAAACATTTTGGCCGCAGACCTTGGACATTCCAACAGGACTCAGCACGATAGCACTCAAGACGCGCCATCCAAGAATGGTTATAAAATGAGGTTCCTCGCATTATTTCCAGCGCACAATGGCCAACAAAATCTCCGGATACCAATCCGTTGGACTATTGTGTCTGGAGTATTTTGGAAAGCAAATTGTCGATCACCTCAAGCAAGCGCTTCGCCGGGAATGGGCCAAAATACCACAGAGCAACATTCGGGCAGCGTGTGACGCTTTCATTGTCCGTTTGAAGGCCCCAATTCGTGCCAAAGGTGACCAGTTCGAGCAAATCTAAACTTATTCTAAAATTTAATGCTATTTCCGACATATTTGGCTTTCATCCAATAAAATTTGAGAAAAAATTTAAAAATTATGGCATTTGACTTTGATGCAGTTTTTTTATCTCACCCTGTACAAAATATTGTAATTTATGTCCCATATTGGCACGTGGAATGATAAGCCAGCCTTTGGATTCTCTAAAGAAATCTGTAAAAAGGGGTTCGTTAACACTTAACTACATGATGCATTAAATAATTAAAAGCTTCACACAATTATACAAGATTTGAATTGAATTTGAACTGGTTGTATTAAACAAAAAAAGAAAATATTGGATAAAAATATGATTTAAAAATTTCAGTCTATTTATATAGCTCCGGACAAGAGCATTTACAATATTTATTTTACTTAGCCACGAAATAAACGAAATGTCCTTGGTCGGAGCACTGTTTTTATTGTTGTTATTATTCGTAATAATAATACTCCTTAAATATTGTGAACGCGTCTGGTATTGGCGAAAACAAAATGTGGAACTGTTAAATATTTTCTCGGTCCTACAAAAAGCAACAAAAGACAAACCTCTCTATCGAATATTACAAAATATATATCAGGATATGTACGAGAAACGAGAATCATTCAAGGCTATTGAATTGGTACTCATTTCCGGTCTCTTTGTGCAGGATCAAAAAGCAATTGAACAAATTCTCGTTACACAATATGAGAGTTTTGCAGATCGTGGTTTATATGCGAATCCAAATGATCCCTTCCTAGCTAATATGGGTCGTTTAGAATACGATCAATGGAGGCATTTACGGCGTAAATTGCAACCCTGTTTTTCGGCGAACAGTACCAAAGCAATGTATCCTTTAATGCATCGAGTGTGTGGTGAATTTGTCCAGGTCCTCAGAGAATCTGTTACACAAAAACGCGATAATATCCTCGAAATGCGAGATTTATGTTCTCGTTTTGCTGTCGATGTCATTGGAAGTGTGGGCTTTGGTGTTGAGTGCAATAGCCTAAGAGATGTCAATGCAAAATTTCGCTACTTCGGTGATAAGGCGACCACAGAACATTTTCGTCCCCTATTACAATTCAAAACAAAATATTTGAATATCTTAAAAATATTCAATGTTAAATATCACAGCCAAGAGACTAGGGAATTTTTTACCCAACTTGTCAAAGAAACCATAGAATATCGTGAGAAATATGGAATACAACGTGCCGACTTTATGGATATTTTAATCAAAATTAAAAACGATCCTCAGGAATCGAAAAATTTCGAATTAACCTTGGATAGAATTGTGGGGGAAGTTTTCCTCTTTTTTACTGCCGGTTATAATACCACATCATCGGCTCTGTGTGAGGCTCTTTACGAATTGGCCAAAAATCCTGAAATTCAAGATAAGGCCCGCAGTCAAGTGATGGATATTTTGGATCGACATAACAATAATATAACGCTTGAGGCCGTCAAGGAAATGCGTTATATTAAACAAATTATAATGGGTAAGTTTGTTTGTGGACACCATGGTATAATCATTTACAAGGGTGGGTCATAGAAATCATTGGAATACAATTTTTAATGGCTCGTTTAGATACAAAATTATATCGAGATTAACCCACATTATCGGGATAAAATTGCTTGATGCGGATTTATTCAACCAGATTTACTATACAAAAATAGTTATACTCATTTTAAATTCGGTGCGAAATCTTCATAATAACAGAAAGCAGCACTGGGTTTTCTCATTGGCACTGCGCATGGTAGATGCATCAACGCTTGGGAACATTGATATGTCAAAAATTTTGAAATGCTTTTTTAAAAATAAGTAGAGTTTGACATGTTTTCTCACCAATCGGAGATTGTTATGATATTCGTTTTCAACAATTTTTACGAATTTGAATATCTTTTCATTCAAAATTTTCAATTTCAAGTTTAGTTTGACAGTTCATTGTCCCAGCAGCTGTGTCGATGCGAGTACCTGTATTCTTCTACCATTGGCACTGCAATTTACTCCAAAGTCGCAAATATGTCAGCCAAAGCGTTGTTTAATTGTTATTTAATAATTAAAATTAATTAATTTAATGTAATTTGTATAAAATTCGTTAATGTTTTCTTAATATACTTATGTAGATTGTTTCTTTTTAAGTCAATTACCTGATGATGATCATAAATTATGATCGAAATATCGAAAAAATAAAAAACAATTTTTTTAAATTTCGCCAGACCTCGAGCCAAAATAATAAATGATCATAAATTATGATCGAAATATCGAAAAAATAAAAAACAATTTTTTTAAATTTCGCCAGACCTCGAGCCAAAATAAATATAAAGAAGATAATAAACTTCAAATGTTATTTACTCGGGATAATACATTGCATGGTAGAAGAATATAGGTAGACGCATCGACACAGCTGCTGGGACAATGAACTGTCAAACCAATTTTGGAATTAAAAATGTTAAATGAAAAATTATTTAAATTTTTAAAAATTGTTGAAAAACACGAATTCTAATAACCTCCGAATGACGTCGTATAAGAAAAAAAATTTAAAAATCTACTTATATTTGAAAAAACATTTATATTTTTTGTCATATCAATGCTCCCAAGCTTTGATGCATCTACCTGTATTCTTCTGCCATGAAAACCTGCAAGAATCTAATCATATCGATATCATCTACTATGTTTGCAATTTTTTTCGATAACATAAAGGGAAAATCGGTTATCGTAGTAAACATTTTTACATTCTTGCAGTTTTGGAACTGGAAGATGCGTTATTTTCCATGCAGACGGTCAGCAATTGGCCTGTTTCAGAACTTCAAGAAGACTCTTACTTCAGAGTTGTGTTTTTCAAACGTTGTAAACCTGCCAAACCTTGTAAAAGATTTTATCATAGTCGGAACATGCTATTAATTCATTTTAATGATAATTAATTTTAATAATGATTTTTTAATTTAGAAACCCTACGAAAATATCCCCTACTCTTTGCCGTATCGAGATATAGCCGCCGTGCCTGCACACTACCAACCACAAATGGTTCTCTGAATATTGAACCAAATACTTTATTACTCATTCCCAGTCATGCCGTCAACAATAATCCCGAATTTTACCCCGAACCAGATATATTCCAACCTGAGAGGTTTGATAAAGATGTCAAACGCCCAGCCTGCACTTATCTCTCATTTGGTGAGGGACCTAAGGCTTGTCCGGCCATTAATTTTAGTTATATTGAAATGGTATGTTGTTTAGCTACACTGTTACGTCATTTTCGTTTTTCCACTTGTGAGAAGACACCAAAGGAATTACTGTTCAACAAGGAAATGTTACGTTTAAGTGTTGAAAATATATTTTTAAAAGTGGAGCCATTAAATAAATGAAAAAAAAAATTGAAATATATGCTTTTTATTTTCATTAAACTAGACAAGCTTGAGTAAAACTATGAAAGGCAACGATACATAAGATGCTTGTTATTATAACAAAGCATATTAATGCCAAATGACAGACGTTTTTAAGTAAACTTAATATTAATTGTCAATATTTTCACAAACGAAACATTTGTTCTATTCCAGAACGTGCAAGAATCTACAAGTTTTGCAATTATTATTTTCGATATCATAAAGGAAATATCTGTTAGCCCAGTAAAAACTTTTACAATCTTGCATTTCTGGACAAATCATATTTTATTGCTGAATATAAACCTATTTAAAGAACCATATGTTTCCCCACGGCATTATGGCTGTTTCGATTCTTCCCGCAATTAATCGATTATTTCTAGTCGATTTCTGCATCCCTACTTTGCAAATGACAGCCTACAACAACAACAACTATAAACAAAACAACCAATGAATCCTTTCTAGTTTAGTTGCTTTTTATAATTATCTATTTTTAATGAATAAAGAAGCATAAGCAATAAAAAGGAACAAAAAAACGTGTTCTTGTCCCTTCTAATTAAGTAAATCGGGCAAATTGAGCGTATTCCTTCCCTTATTTCCGGATAAAATTGCCAGTTTTAGAAGTGATATGGTTAGAATTATTAATTTACACAAAAAGGACATAAAATTGTTTTATTGAGTTCATCGAGTATACCAAAAAATTTTGTAATACACATTTTTTCGCACAGCTGCAAGTGAGTATTGTCAAAAAAGGGCTTAATATATTCAATTTATGTTATATTTTATTAAATTGTGGGCATATTTTAAATAATTTTGTGATTGAATTAATTATCGTAGGAATTCGATGGATATGAAAAGTGTAATATTGCGTGTACAATTAAAAGCTTAGTTTTTTGTGGCATAACAAGTTTTTTCTCAGTCATTCATGATTGGTACTGTATAGAGGGGGCTTTGTATCAGAAATAGCGCGGCAAATTACAAACGGCTGTAGAACAAAGGATATGTTAATAGTGTGAAGTAAAAATGACTAAATAGGGAATATACTATCTTTTGAATTAATCTTATTTATTAATTTTTTAATGACCTTATTTAAAAATACTTGAACAACCAAATATAAAAAATAAATAGCAATTTTTTTTACTTTTTAATGTTTGTTTTAATATATGTTTTATGTATATAATTATTTACTACAATTTTGGAATATTTCATATTTTATTATTTTTTTAATCTCCTTGAATTTTAATAATAATGAAAAATAATACTGAATAGATATAATATTTCAATCCTAATCATGTATAATCGTGATTAGGGTGATCAAAGATTGTTATTTAACTGCAACATTTGTAAAAAGTAATCCGGTAAAAGATTCTAAAATTGTCTCTTTTCGCGCCAAAAAAAAAGTTCAAAGTTAAATCAAAACCGTATACAGTTCTGTGAAGAATTTTAAAAACGCTTTAGAATCTAAACATTCTAAAACACACATTTATTTTTCTCCGGCAGTCGACATATATTATGGCCTTACAACTCAATTCATATCTTAACAAGAAGACATGGGTATATTCTTTAAAATGTAAACCTTTTTTAATTCACTAGAACAATGATGGCATGCTTTAAGATTATTATTTAACTGCAACAATTTCAAAAATAATCTGATAAGATGTTCTATAATTTGCCTATTTCGCGCCATAGAATTTCAAACTTTACACTTTTTATACCAAGTTTTAAAGAATTTAAAATATATTCCCTATAGTTTTTAAAACACACATTTATTTTTCTCCTGCAGTCGACATACATTATGGCCTTACATCTCAATTCATATATTAACACAAACCACAGTAGTCACAACGGCAACAATACAAATAATATTAACAAAAATGTTGGTCTTCCCCTGACGATAATACCGCTCACCGAAGATGTCCTCCAGCGGCAACAGGCTTCGGTAAGAACGGTAATTAAAAAGAATACACCGGATCTTACATTTCATTGTATGTGTTGTGAGGAGTATTTTGTTAATCCCTTTCATATGTATGAACATTTGAATACCAAACATGCTGACTTACCTGTACCACAAGAAGAATCAGAAGAAGAACTAGAGGATGGTAAAGATTACAGTTGGGTTTTTGAGCCCGTATGTGAGCTAGTGGCCGAGGATAGCGGCCAGGGACAGGAGGATCAAGATCGAAAGAAAACGCAAGCAAACAATGTGGAGGCGGAGAACGATGATGATTCTTCATCATCATCGGATTCAGATTCGGATGATGATGATTCAAGTTCTACAACATCGTCTTCATCATCTAGTTCCTCGTCCGATTCCAGTTCAGATTCAAATCCAACTCAAGATGAGACCACAAGAGATGCCCCGGAGCTGCAACAATTCAATGTGGATGAAGAACAGACCACAATGGAAGGTATCGAAGAGGGGGCCTATGAAGAAGTTGAAGCCGAGTCTCAATACTCATCCAATTCGCAAAGTGGTACATTTAATGGTCTACACCTTCAGACAGGCGATTCTAGGGAGTCTACTTCCATATTACTTTTAAATCCTGCCGCAAATACAACCATAACTCCGGTAATGCCGACTGTGAAAAGAGGACGGGGACGTAGGAGTGCTGCCCAGCAGGCTGCCATAGAAATGTCTTCCCTGATTAGTGGTGAGCCCAAATGCTTCCAATGTAGCCACTGTGAGGCATCGTTTCCCAGTGCTGGTGATTTATCTAAGCATGTTCGCTGTCACATTAGCAACAAGCCTTTCCAGTGTTCCATTTGTGAGAAAACTTTCACGCACATTGGCAGTTTAAACACCCACATACGTATCCACAGTGGTGAAAAACCATATAAATGTGAACTATGCTCCAAGGCCTTTACCCAGTCCAGCAGTCTTATGGTCCATGTTCGTTCGCACTCCATTAAAAAACCCCATCAATGTCATTTGTGTGATAAGGGCTTTGTGAACTCCACATCGTTGGCCATACATTTGAAAAGTCACAGCACCGGAGAAGCGCCACTCAGTTGCAACGAATGCGACAAGACTTTTAAACATGAATCTCAATTAAAGGAACATATGCGCATGCATAGCCTATCGCTGGTCTATCAATGTTCCATATGTCGTCAAGCCTTTGCCACCTCATCGGAGCTGGTACAACACATGAAATGCCACATGGGTGAGAAGCCGTTTACATGTTCCATTTGTGACCGTTCATTTACTCAATCGGGCAGTCTCAACATTCACATGCGCATCCACACCGGAGAGAAACCTTTCGTTTGTAAATTTTGTAATAAATCCTTTACCCAAGCTTCCAGTTTAAGTGTCCATCTAAAAATACACTCTGGGGAGAAACCATTCCCCTGTCACATTTGTGGTAAATCTTACAGTCAAGCAGCCTATCTGAATAAACACATTCAAAAGCATTTGGATGCACAGAAAGGAGGGCCAGAAATAAAAACAGAACCCAAAGAAACATTGTTGTGTATAGTGTGCGGCGAACTTCATAAGGACTCCAATTCGTTGGCTTTGCATGTTACCAGGAAACATGCGGCTTTGTTGAATAACATGCGTGAAACGGAAAATGTCGAAATTAGCGAAGAAGAACGTAGAAGACAGGAAGAAATGTATATGCAACAAATACAGGCCTTGATGTTGTTGCAACAGCAGCAACAACAACTGATGATGAGACCTGCGGAACAGATTCACAATCCATCGACAAATGTGGAAAATATGAATGGAACGCAGGAGATCCATGAGGAAGAAGCCAATGAATCAGAAGAAGAAGAAGTGGAACAAAACCAACAAGAATTAAGAAATGAACAACAACAAGAAAATGGGGAAACGGAAATGCCAGATGAAAACAACGGCCAGAATTTAGAACACATCAATCAAAGTCAAACAAGTTCAAATTATAATAGTGATAATGAATCTATCAATCATCAAGAGAACGAGTCCAACAATGCGAATCAATTTTCATACGATAATTTCAATGAACAATTAAATTCCAATGAAAATAACAGTATGGAACAAGAGACCTATGATGAAGATGCTGCATCAAATTACGGTGGATCATCTGGAAGTGAACAGGAAAACAGATCACCCGAACAACAATACAATGGACAAGAACAACCCCGCTACAATGATCAAGAAGATCAAAAAAGCAACGATTATTTTCAAACCAATACAAATGGCCTTACAATGGAGAACTTTTCAGAAACCGAGGATGGCGAAGAGGAGGAGGAGGGATACAGTGAAAATGAAGAAAATAATGATATTCAGAATCCCGTGACATTTAATAACAATAATCGTAATGGTACACCAACATTGTCCTTACCGGAGGGTCTTCAGATGGACGCCGAAGAGGAGCACGATGATGACGACTTACATCAAGATATTGAAATGTCTGAATATCCATTTATTGATGATACAAAATTTGATTTTTACGATGATTATGCGGCAGAGGAAGAAGTTGAAACCGAAGAATAAAGTTGCATCATTATATTTTTAGGATTTCTTCAAAGTATTTAAAACAAAAATTTAAATATTTTTTGTCAGTATTGAAAAAAATGTTCCACGTATATATTCCATTTTATATGGAAGTTTCAATTAAGGCTGCTAATATATTTTGTAATCCAAAAAACGATTATATTTTTTATTTTAATTTTCAAAGAGTATTAAGCATTGTAAATTTAAGCATAGATTTTAAAATAAAAAAAGTATTTTGAAATAAGTAAAATTTGTATTATTGTTGTGTTTTCGATGATGCCTTGGAATTTTACATGATTGAATAATTACTTTAAAATATGTTTCTAAACTCTCCCTAGAACTATGCAAATGTTTGCATCGCCTTAAATACAGCTATGATATTTATGGTAAACAGAAATATGTTATCCCAGAATTAAGCTAATGCTAGTTATAAAACGGATTATATGTGACCCAATGGGCACGATTTTGTTCCTGTTCACTTTTATGAGAAGTAAACAAAGATTTGAAGACATCGCTGGCCTTGGGATCTTTGGCAACACTGTAGTCAGTTTTCAAACGCTTCAGCTCTGGATCCTGCATGGCATCTGAGGCTGCTCCCAAACGTTTGGGATTTGCCACCAACTTTGAAACGGGTTTTGTACCATTAGTTACACTACTAGCCGCTTTGCTAGTAGAAGGCAAATCATCGGTCTTCTCCTCTTTAACTTTATCCGCCTCTGGTGCATTATTTGTATTTGTTTTATCTTTCTTTTCCTTTTTATCCTTTTTACTTGCTTTCTTTTTTGCCAAACGCATATCAATTTTAGCCTGCATCAATTCCAAATCATCATCATTGCCATTTAATACAATAACATCTTCGACACCAAATTGCTGTTGACACACTGGACAAGCACCTGCCGAACTTCCCTTGATTTCTTTTAATGCTCTCTCTGACATGACACAGCCACAAGACCACATGCCAATGAAACGAAATTTTCCAGACATTTCCAACCCGGTTAGTTTGCAAATATATGGAGCATGACTGGTGTCTAGTAAACCTTCGGATTTCTCTGTTTCAGTATATGCTGGATTGGGAGTCAAATTGAGCTGTTTGATATCCTTGAGATTTTTGATGTGTTTAGCCACATCGGGCATTGTTTCCTTCTCCAACAAGCGTTCGATAACATTTTGTTTGGAATACAATCGTCCCAGGCCACACATTACTATTGGTTCCTGTAGTCGCTGCTGTGTTATGGCGCAATGTCTCCAACGGAACTCGCGTTCCGAATCCTTGTCTTTCTGTAACAGAGAAAACGTAAAACAAAGTTGGAAATAGTGTGTGCCCTTACCTGTTCTGGCTTCTTTTTGAGACGCACCAACTCATCACGTCTTGGTATAGTTCCACCATCACATCCCATATTGAAGTTTTTGAGTAATATACTATTATTTCTGCGTCTATTATGATTTATATGATTTATTTATCTTTTTTTTTCTTTGCTAGATGTATTTTTCACTCAATGTCTATGTTTCACAGTAAGTAGCTTCTGTATATGTCACGATATTAATCTCTTACTTAAATGGCGGCGCAAACCGATTGTCAAATTACATGTATGGGAAATATCAAATCGTGTAACAACCAAACAAAGCCTCTTTAAAACATAAGAATAAATCTTCATGTAGGATGTTAACCCTAAAAAGGACTAATGTAAACATACTAAAGGCTCAATTTTTTGACAAAATTAAGACATAATGAGAGTTATAAAAAAAAGTTATATTAATTCATGGTACAGCCATTGCTCAACTACAAAGTAACCAGAAAAATTCAACTTTATACCAGAGTATTATAGTATCCAATAGACTTTCGGCACTTATAAAAACATTTTCCCAAGTCTTGCATATCAAATGTTGAAAGGCAAGGAAGAGTGCTCGGAAAAATGGCTCTTATTTAATTTCCCTTTTTCCATCTCTTTTAAAACACACACACTTTTTCACACTACATATTAGGTGACACTATGTAACGGGATGTTATTCCAATCTAATCAATTGCCCTATGTTTTAAGTTAAAATAAAACAATTTCCCAGATAGGACCTTTTATATGCATGTAAATGTAAACAAAAATCACCTGTTGTATACATTGTGCCATATGGTGAACAAACAGCTGTTGCGGCGAGTTAACTCTTCTACTTATACATTTCGACGCCGCCTCGCCGAAATCGTCCCACTTCGTTGTCTGCATCCGTCTTTCGGCACAATTTTATTTATTTACAAACAAATTGAAAAATACTTCGAATATTATCACAAAATGCCGGACCATTTACATTGGTCATATCCGGATATACCGGAACAATTCAAGTAATTTACATTTACAATTAAAAATGCTCTCCTTATTTAAACTCCTTACACTTTCCGCAGTAAAATTCTTTTTCAAGATGACAAGAAGCTGGTGATTGTTGGAGTTATTGGAAAGTCAGCATTTCCTGACTGCAATAAAATGGCAGCATTGGACGTTTTAGGTTGTCATCCAAGTACAATAAAACATGATCCTCGAGAGGTAAAGCAATTGTGATTTATATTCCTGGCATAATGTTTGAAGCCTTTATGCTTTCTCGCCTAGGGACAAATTCAATTTTACTACAACCCTTTGGAAACGATATTATATTTACATTTTGAAACTTCCTATGATTCTGCATGTATGCAAAAAATGTTATTGGAAGATTTGGAAAAGCAACGATTTGAAGATTTCTTAACATTCAACCAGAAGGTGCGTAGTCGTTTTGCTCGCATGTTCCTGTTTGCCACGCAGGTTTGTCACTTGATTGTTTTCGTGGAGTTGAGTGTTACGTTTGATGCTTCATTGTTGGGTGTCTTCAAGGCATTGAAGATTATAAGGTAAGGAGTTTGTAAATAAACTGTGTATAAGTCTATGTAAAAATCTCATAATTTATTAATTTTTCTCAAATTCAGAGATCGCCATGTGTTAAAATTCTTTCCAAAACTGTTAAAGAATTCCAATACAGGCTTCATCCTGGGCAAACCGGCTCGTCTTTGCTCACCCCGAGTTATTTTCTTATTTGAAAACTTACCCGATGGCCATGGTTAGTATTTTAAGAGATTTAATGTTAGATTATTAAAAAAAAAAATTTGGTTTGATCTTGCAGAGAAAACCAAAGATGCAATCTCAAAATTTGAATTCGATGTTGAGGATAATATTTACAAAATGCTACGTAATGAATTTATTGTGGTAAACAATAGCAACAATTCATTGTTTTCAATACCAGTCAATCTACGCTTTGTCTATTATAATTTAAATGAGAAGCTACGAGAAGATCCCTTAATAAAATCGGTAAATTTGCTCCAAGAGCTGTTGCACAAGCCTACTTTTACACAGGATGATGATGAGGAAGAAGATTTACTTCCATATAAGGTAGGTTGTTTAAAGTGGTGAAATATGTGTTTTTTCTAATTTTCTTTTGTTTCAGGGATTCGGAAAACCATTGTCCTTTAACAATGTAACCACAAAAACTGAATCCTCCGAAGATTTGTACATTAAAAATCGGAAATTTATAGATTTACTCAAGGATCATGTAGAACAGGCCTTTAAAACGGGATTCAATGACAACCTTACCAAATTCAAAGGAAAACATCACTTTGTGGTATACCATTATTGGATGATCATTTAAACGTCTATTCCATAAATGTTATTATTTACAGCTTTTAAATTTTAAATCATGGTATGAAATATTCAAAATGTTGCATAAACTATTTATTGAGAATCCTGATAATGCTGATTTTGAGGCTAATGATCCAGATTATGTGAGCATTAAGTAAATATTCTTTAATATAGTATTTTAATATTTTTTCCACTTTATGTTACAGAAAGCTTATTTGGAAAATTTCGATAAAATATTGAACTATGATAGCGAGTAAATCCCCTAAACTTAAACTACGTAATAATTTACTAAAACTTACCATCTTTTTTGTATAGATTTTTCAAAGCCTGCTGTGATATTGGCCTGCAAAAAGCATTTGCAATGTATAATAACCCAACTTTAACCTACTACAGTGCGACGGTGCACAAAAAACTGGTATGTTAAGTAGATATTTATGTTAAACATATATCATTTTTTAATGTATTGTTCTGCCTCCAAATATTAGGTCGAGGAAGCCGTTGCTTTATATATGAAATATGCCCGAGGCTCTGATAAAACTACAAATGAATTAAAGCTACGAGAAATGTGCGAATCCTGCTGGAGGAATGGAAAAGAACAGTGTGAATATCCAAGTTTAAGAGGGAATCCCTGTGCCAGACCCAAACACATTGCCAAAGATCCCACAGAGCATTCTAGTGGCTTGATATTTATATCGGCTTGTAATTGTGGCAAAATCCAGGGACGACGTGAAGACCCCTACAGCACAAGGCATGCTAATTATGAATTTTATGAATATATGGCCAGCAATTGTAATTTATGTGCCAAAGTGAAACGCATCAACTTTGCGGTGTTTGAACCATCCATTAACGACTACCGGGCTGCTGAATTTGAACGGGGATTTCCAAAATTACCCATGCGTAAAAATACAGACATGGATGAACATTCGATACATAGTTATTCCGATGAAGAACAATTCCCCATAAATAATTCCCAACCATTGGCCGCTTCCCAGCGTACCCTCACCAATCTTAGTCTCTCGACATCAATGGATAAAATGAACAAAATCGATAAAGATCAGGATAATGAAGATGACGATGATGAAGAAAATAGTTCGGATGAATCGGTAAATGAACTTATTTTAAAGGTGAAAGAAAACGATGCCATCACCGAAGAAACAACAGAACGCACAATATATCGTCAACCTTCCACTACAGAATATTTACCCGGTATGATGCATACTCAAAGTCCGATTGGCTTATTACCACAATTTCCCAGTTGGTCATTGTGTTGTGTTGGTGCCAGTTCGGTCTACAGTCACAATCATGGACTTCAGGAACATTTCCAATCTGGATTTTTATCTGGTTCCAATTTTCTCCTGCCCTGGGATGTTCAAGTACGCCTGGAACATTCAGCCCAATGGGCGTATGAAAAAACACGCTATCGTAAAATGGGTGAAGTTTTTGTTTTGAAAATTTTCGTTGGATTCGAATATGAATGTCCGAGGGGACATCGTTTTATGATGTCAGCTCCGGATAAAATTCTAAGGGGAGGTTCAGGTGAGTTGTACCAATCTAATTTAAGGAACACATTCTCGGAAATTGTTTTCTAAGCCATAGTAGAGTTTTAAACAGTATTTTTCAAGGCACGACAGAGCAAATAAATGGGGATTTTTAAGAATATTTTTTCAAGCCTTCTGTCTTATTTATCCTTAAATCATTTGCATTTTTTAGGTATTTTACGAGACAGTGGAAGCAAGGTAGTCTACAATAATATGCCCCTATATTTCCCATGTCCCTGTCGGACGAAAAAATTCGATGTTGCCCAACTGATGCGCATTCATGTTGTCACGCCAAAGGCTCCTGTGAATGTTTCCTTGGATCCCAAAGTTCGTACCGGTGATGGAGATTATGTTTTTGTCTTGGGCTGTGAGCCCAAATTGACACAAAGTGCATACTGGATGTTACGTCTTCCCTATATATACGAAGGCGATGATGGCCCGATACCAACGCCAACGGAAATTACAGCCGCCAATGCTCTGAACTATGGTTGTTTAATGGCAGGTATGTTTGGAGTAAGTGAAGTTGAGGCTGATGAATAATGATGATGGACTTATTTTGTAGTTAAAGATTGAGATTTTGTTATAAATTAAGAATAAATATTATATAAACTAAAATTGATTCAAAAATACAGAAATACATCAATTTTTGGACTGAGTCCAAAATTAGATACAATATTTATCACTAAATAATTTGTTCAAGTTTCTATCAGGTTCTTGAGGAGTTACTTTGCTTGTTTAACTAAAGTTATCTCAAACCAAAGAAACCAATTGAAGTAACTAGGTTTTCGGGATACGCCAACTATTTCCAGCGAATAGAAACGAAAGATTTAAAGTTTATTCTACATTATTTGTATTTATATTCTTCATAGGTCTTTGTTATGCTACTAAACAAACATTATAGATATGGGTCTATCGGAATAATAATCGTGGCTCTTTTCAAAATAAATCGCCGTCATTCCCTAGATTTGTGTTACTGATTTGTCTGTACTGGTTTGCATTTTGTTATTTGCAAAGAGTGGCAATTTTGGGCGCACATTCGCACAAAAGCTATCTTAGAATCTATACAAAAGAAATACATTTAATTTTAGGTATGTGTTCTTCAGTTCTGCAGGTGCTGCTTTTAGACTAGTGACAATCCAACATCGTTTTAAACATTTTCCGGTATGGCTTCTTCACAGCGATTTTTGTTCTTCAACAAATAGGAGGCCAAGAAGCTTATTGGATCTGGTGGTCGTTCTCGGGCAAGGGTTTGTAAGCCATGAAGTAGGATCGGTGCTACAGTTTGATCTAAATATTGTCGGGTGGGTAATGAATTTAAATCAGCACGGGGCTTCTTTTGCTGTGCATTATTGCCGGCGTTCGTGTTATTTCCAGTTAATTGTGGTTCGGCAGGAGGGGCAGCATTTTGATTGTTTTGACCTGCTTCCTTCTCCATAATGGCGCTTCAATATCAAGGAGGATAAAAATATCAATCAATTTGTAACTTTTATTCAACTTTATTTACTTACTTCGTGGATTATTATGTCCTTTTGGTCAAATTCAGGTCGAGAATCTCTCAAAACAATCGAAAAATATACAAATCAAGGCCAATATAAGGTCGGACACTTATTTTGACAACTATTTGACAATAAACTTTGTAGGTTTGGCATTATTGTGATTTGACTTGATACACATATAATTCCCCAATCGATTGCTATTGTGAATGATTACATTAAGTAAGTTTACTGGCGGCAAGTCTCTGCATGTTGTTAAGAGGGGCAATTCTCTTTGTGTTATTGCTTTGCATAAATGCAAGTTAGCGGAAAGTAAACGTAACAGTACGTTGCGATTCCGTTGATCTAACAAAAGATTATTAGAATATGTTAACATTGGAACCACACCATTAACCTACAACTTCTACCATTTATTCTACTTTATATTGGAACCCCGGGCACAAATTTAAAAGAAAACAATCAAAAATAGCCTCGAATGACTTCCTCTTTCAAAAAATTTACCAAACACATTCGACCGGATAGAAACTAGTAGCATGATTTCCAGTTTCCCATTAGCGAATATGTTTCGTTCCAGATCGTATTCGACTGGAAAACCGTTCCTGTACCCAAAAATCGAATAAAAAATTCTGATAGATTAAAATGTTGATTTTCAAGCTACTTTTGTTCTTTTTTATCTGGTTTCCCGTTTCTATACTTTCTGCGAAAGTTAGTTCCCTCAGAGTGATTTTAACTCTTTTACTACTTTACTCTTTAACACTATTATCAGCAGAAATTTTTCTCAGCCAAATACTCTCATAACAAATGCTTTGAAGTGTCTGGGACAGAAAAACCCGGCTTCAATTTACCGACTAGCATATGTGCCTGACTCCCGACGATGTAAACTCTACTACACTTAAAAACAACTCTGTCCACCAGCATAATGTATTCCTGCTATTGTGATTGAAAACAAACGTCACATTTTTGACATTAATTAGTGACTGTCTTATTTGCCTGCTCGCATTGGGGGAAAATATTCTGTGAAAAATTCTGTATATTTTCAACGAAAAGTATTAAATAAATATGACAGAATTACTAATCGATCCAAATATACGAGTTTGGGTATTTCTTCCCATTGTCCTGATTGCCTTTTTCATTGGTATCTTGCGGCATTATGTGAGCATTTTGATAGCCTCACAGAAAAAGGCTGAAATCACTCAAATCCAAGACAGGTAACTATGATGAAAGATAATAAATTAGTAAATTGGACCTTGTGACCTAAATTTAAAATGTGTATTTTGTGTTTCAGTCAAGCCATGATTAGGGCCAGATTGTTGAGGGAGAATGGCAAATATTTGACCGCCCAATCGTTTGCTATGCGTAAGAACTTTTTCAACAATGAGGAGACTGGCTATTTCAAGACCCAAAAGCGAGCACCTGTACAGCAAAACTCGACTGCCATGATAACAGATATGTTGAAGGGTAATTTTGTCAATATGTTGCCCATGGTAATAATTGGTGGCTGGATCAATTGGATGTTTAGTGGTTTTGTTACAACAAAGGTGCCTTTCCCACTGACTTTGCGTTTCAAACCTATGTTGCAGCGAGGCATTGAGTTGGCCTCTTTGGATGCTGCATGGGTTTCTTCGGCTTCGTGGTATTTCTTGAACGTTTTTGGTTTGAGATCTATTTACACTCTGGTATTGGGTGAAAACAATCAAGCTGATCAGACACAGGCCCAGGCAGATGCTATGACCGGTGCAGCCATGACAATGCCCCAGGATCCCAAGGTAGCATTTAAAGCCGAATGGGAGGCCTTGGAAATTACAGAATATCAGAATGCATTGAAAACTGTGGATAGTGAATTGCTTCAATTGACCTCATCCAGTGATGTGGTGACTCAAGAGAATAGCATTAGACACTAGAAACCATGGGCTTAAGGGAAATTCGTATAACATATTCCATAAGGTTTTGCGTCGTTTTATGCCAATGAATATGCAATTTATGTTATGTTTTTTCGTATACAATTAGCAAAGATTTATTTTAATGGAAATGAAAAACTTTCTGGAACAAAGGTGACAAACGCAGACAGCATTTCTTTTCTTAGTCTAAATGGCAACTTTTGATGACAAAAGTTTAGGGTAAACATTTGTGTTTTTCTTTACTAGAATTTAAATTTTATTTAAATAAAAAAATATAATTTATAAAAATAAAATTATATGAGAATATATAACCAAATTGATGTCAATGTTTTTTTTTTTTATATATGTTAATCACCCTTTTCGGAGGGCGCTATTTCTGTCAAATCAATATCATCTATGGTATTTGTAATGCCTCCAATGCTTCTGGTGTCATCTGCTGTTGCAGGCACTTGTTTATCATTTGTTGCTTGAATACGATTTGAAAGTGGAGATGGTGGCCGAGCTGCAGGGATTTTCCATATCAACGATTTTTTAGTTTTTGGTTGTTGTATCAGTCGATATTCATTGGGTAGTTCACTCTCTTGGTACAATCGATCGGTAAAATATATGCGACGTATCCGAACATTGGCATGTATTTGTAAACGTACAGTTTCCATGTAATTTGTCCCATATGCTCGACGTGTAAAATCGGCTAAATTAAAATGAATTTGATTCCACCCGGCTGACATACCCATCGGCATTGAGGTACAAAATGGTTTCACCGAGGTTTTACTTTGGAAATTCGATACACGAAAACGTCGCAGAAAACGTTGGTCATCAATGATCTATTAAAATTGAGGTTTGGAATATACTCGGTACATTTTTGATAATCTCACCTTCACTTCAAATGTAAAGCATTTGTGCATATTTTTGATGAGCAATACCAGAAATGGTAACTTAATTCCCAACTCTTTTCTGGGATCCCGTGGCGAACTGATATACATTGTGGAAACATTTGTGCCCATTATTTCGATGACCATTGATTTGATATCATCATCCAAAACACGTTTCACATAGCCATTTTGGGTCTAAAATTCATAGAGGATGGAAAATCCAAATATATTTTGAAAAGTCCTGTAAGTTTCACGCTTACATGAATAGACCAATTATCTAATGGACGTCCTCCAACACTATACAACACCGAAAAACACCCCTTTTGATAAACGGTGCGATACATGAGACAATAAAGATGTTTTCTAGTTACGTCTCACAAAATCCCCAAGCTAATGAATTGACAAAAATATACAATGACACTAGAAAATGTACAGAGAATTGAATTATTTAAGTACTTATTTTAATAACAAATTTTATTTTATTAGCAAAAAGAATCTTAAAGGTATACAATTAGAGAAATCATAAAACTTGGAACTTATACTGTTACAGGATATCCCCATGGGTCCAGTTTTCTGTTAAGCAACTCCAGCGAAGATTCTGCCAATTTCGACAATAGTTCCGCTAGCTTATGTTTGGTATAAACCTTATAAAGTTGGCGATTTTCGGAGGCAATTTCATCGGCCAATCTGACACAACCTTGATAGTCCTCTGATAAATGCAAAACTTTGTGTAAAAGTAAAGTTATTTCTGGTATACAAATACTACGAATTTTATCCAATTGCACTTGGCGATTTTCCCAAGTAACAGGACTGATGTTGGCCGGATCTTTGGGAGTGTCAGGATCAATGAGCCAACCCTTTTCGGGGAATAACAAGACATTGAAAAGAGAATCTCGGCAAACTAAAAAGGAGAAGGCAAATTTATTAAACCTTGAATTTCATATATTAAATTCGCTTCTAAATTACCTCGAGCCTGTTCCTCCAGTGATGCCTTCCAACGATTTAATTCGCCTCTATATACCTGCTCTTTGTGTTCCGAGGCCATACGTTCGGTGAAATTAGCCCCAGCTGTAACCAATTGTGGTTCTTTAGGGCGATTGTGATACAAACGTGACCATTCATTAAATGAATCAATGGCCGCCAGATAAACTTTGTAACTTAAATACTCCTTAATGCTACAGTCTTCACGACACGGGAAATTATCCTTACTACCGTAGATATTCAAAATATGACTTAGGGAATCTTGTGGAATCGTATCATAAACTGCGCGTACACATTCCATTTTATTTTCTGCCAAAAAGGAACGTATCATAGCATTAGCTTGCCACAATAGTTCGCCACGTTGTGTTGGCAAAAATGTTAACCATTCCAAGGCCTTGATTTTACGTTGGTCAAATGTAGAAATATCACCATGTTGTAACGGCTCCTGTTGCATTAGTTGTATATCAGCTTCGGCTGGCTCTTTTTGGCGGATAACTTCAACAGTATGACGTGTAATATTTTCAACATCAAGATGAGCGTTCATCGCTTCCTCCAGAGCAGCTTGGCGGGCAGGTGTATCATGTATTGTTTCCAAGAATTTCGAATATAAAGAAACCTGCATTTTACCCGGCAGGGCAGCAGTATAGAATGCAACCAGCTGGGCATCTTTCATTTGTATTAGACATTCAACATACGCAGCTATTATACGATCAGCGGTCTCCTCCTTGTCTACACGACCTATTTGACGCATGAACAACACAATATGGGTTAGAAATCTTAGCATATGTGAAGATATGGAAGGATCTTTGCTATCCACTAATTGGTCTTCTTCAATCCAGCGACGTATTTGTTGTAGCAATTCGGTAATGTTGTCGAGAATCAAATATTTCTGTATAATGCCAACTTTACTTTGAGCATAATCCCTCACAGCAGCATCATTGTGTACCAAGAGTTCATCGAATATTTGTTCCATAGACATTTTTGCATTCCAATACTCTTCTGGCATGGGATGATAGGGCTTGGGGCAATTGGCTCTTATTTCACTTTCCACACGTATATCAACCTGAACCTTAAGGTATGCCCAAAGAAGATCCTCCCATGAATTAATTAGTAGCGACTTCAGCGACTCCAAATGTCCACAAAATGTTCCTGCTATGGCCCTGGTGTATTCATCAAATTTCTTAGAATCAGCCATCATCCAAGCACATTTCTTCCATATATCTCTTCGGGGATTACCCTCAATGGGGATCTTCTCCTTGGAGTTTCCATGTATGGGTTCATAGTTGGGATCTTCATGAAGACGCCAACCCTCCAATATAGCTGCGCGCCAAGTCTGGCCACAGTATTTACACAAGGCCATAGCCTCATCGATGCGTCCCTGGCGTATTTCTTCAAATATGCAACGTGATAAGCGCATGTTATCTTCCTCATCCAATGCATGTAGCGGTTTCTTTTCTCGTATGGGTGCATCAGGGTCTAGAGATTTAACAATTTCTCCGCCGGAACTAAAGGCAATTTGTTGTTGTTTCTTCAACTGAAATAAAGTGTTTTCCCAAGCCACGGTGCGATCCGTCGTATGGCCAATCTGGGGACCAGTCATTTTCTTCTCATAACATGCTTCTAACCAATCGATTATCAGTTGATACTCCCTCAATGTTGAATTGCAATTGTATAACTGCGAAATAACTTCCTTCTCGGAACCACCCATTGTGGGTATTTCATCCATTCCTTGATCTGTTGATTGCAAGAGAATACGATCTTGGTACAATGCATACAACAGTTTCCATGTTTTACACTCCAATTCCAACCATTCCACTTTGGACTTAGTCCGGTTGTCACCACCTCTATGAATATCTTTCAGACATTCATCCTGCACTGCAGCGCATGTGTGTATAAGATCTTTTATGGTATCAAATACTTCCGAATCATTGGTACGACCTTGTAGAACCTCCAAGAATTGTGGAAACAATGTGTCTGCCTTTTCCTTGAAGACATCCAATTGCTCTATAACCGATCGATCACATAGGCTTGTTGTATCACCAACTCCCGCCACACCACCATGGAAAGATGAACCAAAAAGTCCACTGTTATTCATTTGAGAACTGTCCAGCATTCTCTGTAACTCTCCGGGAAGTAGCGATATGGAAAAATTGTGAGAGTCGCCATCGGCCAAGGTGTCTGCACGTTCTCGTTGTGGTGTCCGTGGCTTTATGTTAATTAAACCACGTTTACTTATAAATGGACTGGCTCCAGACATTTTGATGGTATAATTGTGAACTTAATGCAAATTTTACGTTGATTTTATTCAGTTATTGTGTGTTTTTATTACTAAACAAAACGAAAACAAAACACGATAACAATGTGACGGGAAAACGCGCAAAATATGCTGCCGGTCAGTGATGTGAATGTGTTGTAGGGCTAGCATAAAATCGATGACACTATAGTCGATATTAACGATATTTCATAAGTGAACATATTGGCAATATCAAAGATAGTCATCACCGATATTATTCCAGCTCTAATGAAAAGCAGCTGTCATTAGCGTCAGTTTTTCAAAGAATCAACGTTTGTTTGGCGGCATTTCTTTAACAGAGGTCAATTAACAATTTGGCTTTTTTAAAAAAACTAAAAAATAAACGATATTAAACATGCACAAGTCTGCCAAGAAGCCCCCAAATCGCAACGATTTGCCAAAGTTGATAGAAAATGTTCCAGAAGAGCACAAAGGCTATGTGAAAGACCTGTGTCTCAAAATGTTGCAGCATCCTGCATATGGACAGCCGTGAGTAGATCATATTTCAATTCTAATCTCCTAATTTCTATTGTCAACTGTATATCATACAGATACGATTGGACCACACGTGATTTTGAAATGGGTGCTCCTCTGGGTAGAGGCAAATTTGGACGTGTATATTTGGCCCGGGAGCGCCACACACATTTCATGGTGGCCATGAAGGTCCTTTTCAAGGCAGAATTGCAAAAAGGCAATGTTCAACGCCAGGTGTTGAGGGAAATTGAAATTCAATCGCGCCTCAAACATCCGCACATTCTACGTTTGCTAACATGGTTTCATGATGATAGCCGTATTTATTTGGCTTTGGAGTTGGCATCGCAGGGCGAGTTATTTAAAATACTACGACGTTCGCCAAATGCCCGCTTCGATGAGCCCCGTGCTGCCAAATACACATATCAAGTGGCGGATGCCTTGCACTATTGCCATTTGAATAATGTTATACATCGTGATTTGAAGCCAGAAAATATACTTCTGACCGCGGCCGATGATGTTAAATTGGCTGATTTTGGGTGGTCAGCACACACCATTTCAAACAAGTAAGTTTTCGTTATTAAAAGGGTAGGAACAGTGAGGAATAATCCTTCATGAATTTAAATTTTCAGACGCAACACCTTATGCGGCACTTTGGATTATTTACCTCCGGAAATGGTTGAAGGTCACACTTACGACGATTCTGTTGATCAGTGGTGTTTGGGAATTTTATGCTATGAATTCCTTACCGGGGGTCCACCATTCGAATCACATAACACCGAAATGACCTATGATAAAATTCGTCGTTTAGCATTGCATTATCCACCATATTTGTCGGTCGGAGCTAAAGATGTCATATCAAATTTGTTACGCAAAAGTGGTAGCTCCCGCATAACGTTGGTAGGTGTAATGCAACATCCATGGGTTAAAAAATGCATGGAAAAGCGAAATAAACAGTTATTGGAGTTGGAAGCTCAGCAAGCATAATTGGATAACATTAATGCTTCTCTGATTTAGTAACCGAATTTCTATGGTTTTTATAATTAGTTTAGTTTGATGTTTTCTTGTTCGCATTTAATTATTTTACATGTTATTTTTGTTGTGAACGCTTGTGTTAAATATTTTGGGATGAGAATACCTTTCTAGCAAAAATATTCTGAAAATGTCAATATGTTTCCTTTGCTATTAAAAAAATAAATTGTATTATTGATAAACTGAAAACTCATGACTTTGCCATTGCTTTACATGGATACCGATGAGACCAGTTTTCATTCTGGGTTTGTTTTGCTTCAATATAGGAACATAATTTAGAATTAATAGGAGATCATGTATTTAACTCTGTCATTCTGAACATATTTTCTTTAAAATTCGGCATGAGAGTGAAACAATTTATTTTAAGCATGGTAGAATAAAATCAAAGTAATTTTTATTACAAATTTAATTAAAAAATCAGTTGTATGAAATAAATCTCTAAAGTTATAGAGAATATAATAATAAAAATATATCTTGACCTTACATTCGACATAAAGGAACATGGTACTAATCTGAAATAAGGATTTTTTCCAGAATTTTGTTAATTCATTGCTTCAGTTTTCCATTGTGATTTTCTTTTAAAATAATCGTTGTTGTCCTTCATTAAATTCCATCAATAGGTAATCGATAATGTATTACACATCCCTAATGTCTATTTAGTTATCGGTGATCTTAGTTCGTTGTGGTCGTGGTCGCGCTTGTCGTGAGTGTTTTTTAACAATTCAATCAAAATATATGGTGTTTCAAGTCATAAAAATTATTGCAAAGTATAAATAAACATTAGCGAAAGTGGGGGAAAATGAATTTTGATACGAAAAGTTGTTAAAAAACTAAGAAAATTGGTGTGAAAATATTCTTGTTTTCGGCTAACGGTTTCATTGGATTTCATAGTTGGTGGATATTTCGATTGTCGCAGTCAGCCGGCACTCGCAAGCCGTTAATGTTCAAAGGTTCAACATTGATATGTGAGAAAAAAGTGCGTTAACGGAAGAGCAACAAGAGAGGAAATAAAAAGAAAAAAAATCATTTCATAGTGATGCGTATGTGTTTGTGATTTAAAACAAGTAATATAAAAACAAATGTTGGAGGTTTCATATTGAGCTCTGAAATGTTAAAAGATCAAAAATTAGTTTTTTAATAAAAGAGGTCCAATAAAGTGTCTCAAATGCAAATAATATTCTGGCCTTAAAGGCGTTAAAATAAACATATAACTAACATAGTTAAAAAAATTAAAACGATATAAAGGAGTTATAAGTAAAAATATAAAACAAGAAATTATGTTCTCATAACGGTTCCGCATCGGTATACAAAATCAGACCAACAATGTGAACAAATTTATCATTAAAAAAATTTTTCGATTTTGATTTCCCTTAAAAATAATCACTGCCCGTCATTAAAATTAAACACCGTGTAATCGATAACTTACTGCCACCACCAGTTGCAATTTAGTTATCGCTGCTCTTTGTTCGTTGTGGTCGTGATCGCGTTCGTCGTGAGTGTTTTTGTTCGTTTTTTAAAATATTACGTGATTTAAGTTCTAAAAATTGTTGCAAAGTGTAAATTAATATTGCTGAAAGTGTGAACAAATGGATTTTGCTAAGTAACGTTGTTGAAAACCTTAGAAAATTGGATGTGAAAAATATTCTTATTGTCGGCTAACGGTTTCGTGAGAAGTCGAAGGAGGTGTTGTTTTGTATTGCCGCCGTAAGACGATGCTCGCACGCCGTTTATGCACACACATTCAACTCTGATATGTGAGAAAAAAGTGCGCCAACGGAAATGTCAATTCCATTGTTCCCCTTGCAAAGGAAACCTGTACAACAAAGATGAAATCATATTCCGTTTCCGTACCCATGGTGAAGTTAATACAAAGAAAAGAAACAGTCATATAAATGACTGAGAATTGGTCCCTTTTGCAATAAAAAAAAGCAAACAAATTACGGCAGTTTTTATAAAAAATACATTGGTTTCAAGCGATAAAAGTGAACTGTTAACAATAAAAAAACTATACGAAAAATTATTTTGTTAATCATAGTGTGTTTAGAAAAAATTTTCAAAGAAAAATATAAATTAAAAAAAAAATCATTCATATAAAATTAACAATGGAAATTTTTTCAAATAAGAAACTTTTTCTTTAAAAATAGAAAATTACAATTCGTCGGATTCTAATCGGACTTTCGCAGTGAATATTGTTTCGGGTTTAAAGTTTCAAAGTCATTCGTCGGATTCTAATTGGTTCTCGCGGTGAATATTGGTTCGGGTTTGTCGGGGTTAAAGTCGTTTCGAAAAAAAATTAATTCGTTTCGGGAATGTGTTCCATGATCTAATTTTTAGCGTTTATCTGGTTTATTTGGAAGATTTGATTATATTGGAAAATCTCTTTGATAAAAATATAAATTATTAATGTCATCCATAACCGCAGCGGAAATGTGAAAAATAAGTGCCCTAAAATTCGTGTACTTTTTATATAGCGGTGTAAAATTATTCAGATAAAAGTCCTTTTAAAATAGTGTAAAAATAAAATTCAACGTTCGTGGCTATTAAAAAGATTGTGGTTCGCAATATTGTTAAAAATGTCGTCGTTTTTTGCTGAAACGGAATCAATATGGCAGACCCTTTTTTGCAAACAAATTGGAGAGAATAATTCTGGAAGTGTTTGGGAAAAGAAATGGGTAAGTACTTTGTTGTATCCTTTCGATTTATTTCAATGCCAAATAATATTCGATTTTTACAAAGAGACTTTTAATAAAAATATTGGAAAATTTTTTGATCCAAATGTGCATAATTATACAACGAATTCAACATTTGAGAAAACTATTTCAAAAATTATTTATTTAACAATCTTGCTGTACAGCCGACTTACCCCAAGATCTTCAATAACAATCCAAATTTTGACATTTTTTTGTCAAAAAATATATTTTAATTTTATTTTTTATTTGTACACAATCTATGGGATATATCGGTCCACTCATTCTGGTACCTCCCCCACAAAGAATCATAATTATATCTATCAAAAGTGCCTAATATTTCTCTTAACCCATGATCTGATGTGAATTTGAAAAATGGCCAATATTGGTCCACTCATTTGATTATTTTAAGTAAGAGTCATAGATATTTAAGGAGATATGCATCTTCTTCAAATTTGTATACCCCCACCATAGTATGGATGGTATATTAAGTTTGTCATTCCCTTTGGAGCAATATACATTCTAGACCCCACAAAGTATATTTATTCTTGATCAGCATAAAATTCTATGTCGTTCGTCTGTACGTCTGTGGAAACCACTTTTGGTATTGAAAATGGACCATGTAGAGCCACGTTTTGGTATAGCCCCCATATAACGGTGCCCCCCAATATTCGGTATTTTGATGATTTTGGCGACATTGTTCACCGGAATTGTTTCAAATTTGGCGTTTGAAGATCGTAATGGATACTACAGCCCAAGACAGAAAATTGTCTGTGCCAGTCCTCGTCTTCGTATAGCCTCATGTAACGGTACCTCCCGATATTCGGTATTTTGATGATATTAGCGACATTATTCACCGGTATTGTTTCAAATTTGGTGTTTGCTGTTCGTAATGGATACTACAGCCTAAGACATAAAATTGTCAGTGCAGGTCCACGTCTTCGTATAGCCCCTACGGTACCTATATTCGGTATTTTGATGATTCCAGCTATATTATTCACCGATTTTATTAAGTTTCGCATTTAAATATTATGACAAAAGTTGCCTATTAAAGGTCCACGTCGACGTATAGACCCTAACATAACGGCTACATTCGTTATTTTTAAGATTTTCACAGAATTGTTAACGGATATTATTTTTTTTTTAAATTGCAAAATTCGTTCCAAATTGTGGAGGGTATTTTTTACTTGTTTGGGGTTATCTCTTATTTCAATAATTACAATATTTCTTTAAAATTCTCCAACAAAACGTCAGAAGCATTCCTTGTGCTGAAACCTATTTATCCTATCTACTATTGGTTTCGCAATGTTTTAAATGTGATATGAATTTAATATAAACAAAGTTTTGAAGTTTTTGAAAACAGCAACAAAATTTCACACCTACCTTTATTTGGAGCTTTAAGCTACAATGCGAAACAAGGTTCACATTTGGTAAAAATATTTCATTTCCATGATTTATGGATTCTCTTGCATATTGGCACTTTTAGTTTGGTGGCTGTTACTGTTTGTGTATGCGAAAAGAAGCGCAAATCCAAGTAAGTTTTAAACATTTTGACGGTTTACGTTTTCAACCAAAAATTTTAGTTTACTGTTTTTCATTAGACAACTCGAAAAACTTAAAACGGTTTCACTATTTTTTATTTTAGTTACTTCTTTATTTAATTTATTTAGACTAATGACAATAAATAGATTTAAAATTAAACTAGTTAAATAACATTAACAAACAGTAATGAAAATACTTACAACTAGGGTGTAAATGGACCTACTCCGGTTACCGGATTTTTTTGCACAAGTCAATATGTCATTTCAACACATAACTATGTTAATACTATTTTACTAATTTTGAATTTGTTACGTTACTTCGCTGAAGGGACAATGCCGGACAAATGGTACATCGATGCAGACACAACCTTTGGCACTTGAAATAAAAGATAATAAATATTTTAGTACTTTCAAATTAAATTATAAATAAATATTTTTCTCACTTGTCCGGCGCATCATTTCCCATATAATATTCTCCAATTTGTGATATAGCATTAAAGGGATTTGCACTGGAGACGGGTCGACGTTTTGGTCCGGTTACATCGACACAACCCGTCGGACATGGTACACCCAAATAGCGGCGATGTTTAAACACAGCCGATGCCAAATAGCAAATACTTAAAAAGTGTGAACATCGAGATCGTCCTGGAATGGAAAAAAATAAAAAAATAAATTAACTTTTTAAATAAAGTCCTTAAATAGTTGTATATGTAACCGAAAATAATAGTCGACTTTTAGTCATTTCGATTTTTGTCGAGTCAATTTTCGATTTTGACTTCTAAATCACTTTTCCAGTCGACTTAGAATTTTGAAGTTTTTGATGGGATTTATTAAAAAATAGAAAATTAATTCATTGTAGGTTCGGTAGTACTAAATGTTTTATAACATCTACCCTATGAAAACGTGATTAATAACTAAATGGGCTAACCTTCCTAAAACTTGGAGGATCCTTTAAATTGAACCTAAATTTTATGTAGAGCAGCAACTAAACTATTATGGCCAATTTCAGGCCAAATTCGATTACCCACAAGTTAAAAAGCAGTAAGTTCTGCCGGGACGAAATTGAAATACCATCCACCATTTGGAACGAATTTTGAATTTTTCAAAACATAAAATCCGTTAAAATTATGTTGAAATCTTAAAAACATCGAATATAGCCGTTAAATTGGGGTCTGTACGAAGGCAACTTTTGTCATAGAAAATGTTCAAATGCGAATCTTGAAAAAAATCCGGTGAATAATGTAGCTAAAATCATCAAAATACTGAATATAGGGAGGTACCGATATATGGGTTCTATACGCTGATCTGGACCTGCATGGACAATTTTTTGTCATAGACTGTAGTTCCCATTACGAACTCTAAGTACAAAATTTGAAACAACACCGGTGAGTAATGTCTCTAATGTCATCAAAATACGAATATAGGGAGGAACTGTTACATGGGGGATATACGATATCGTGGACCTATATAGACAATACTTTTCCAGGGGGTTCTTTGAAAAATTTGGCTACAATCATCAGAATACTAAACATAGGGGGTTCCGCTATATGGGGGCTATATGATATAATGGCCCGGTATAGTCAATCTTCGATCTTGCCCTGGTTGCGGACAAAATACTGATTTGTGCAAAACTTTAGCGTCCTTTCTTTATTCGCACTAAATTGCCTTAGAATTTTACGCTGATCAAGAATACAGGGTGAGATAAAAAAAAACTTCAACAAACTCAAACGCTATAATTTTTAAATTCTATTGAATGAAAGCAAAAAAATGTCGGAAATAGCATAAAATTTTAGAATAAGTTTAGATTTGTTCGAATTGGTCACCTTTGGCACGAATTATGGCCTTAAAACGGCCAATGAAACCGTCACACGCTGCCCGAATGTTGCTCTGCGGTATTTTGGCTTCGTCGGGCTCTTGCTTAAGTTAATCGACACTTTGGTATTTTTTAGTGTCAACCTTGCTTTCCAAAATACTCCAGACAAAATAGTCCAACGAATTGGTATCCAGAGATTTTGGTGGCCATTGTGCGCTGGAAATGAAGCGAGGCACCTCATTTTGTAGCCATTCTTTGGTCTTGAGTGCGGTGGTGCGGAGTCCTGTTGGAATGCCCAAGGTCTGCGGCCAAAATGTTTGCGTGCCCAAGCCTTTAAAACACCCTCCAAAATATTTTCGCGATAATATTTGGCATTTATTCTGAAGCCACGGTCGATGTATACAAGCGGAGAGCGACTATCGGCTGTTATGGCGGCCCACACCATCACCATGGCCGGCGCTTGAGTTCGGGTGGCACATTTTCAGCTGACATCTTTAGTTTGTTTACAAACTCCTGGACAACGAGTGTTTTCTCATCAAAGATTGGAGAAAACTAAATTCGGCAATTCAGCACTTTCTATTTCTACTATTTTCTTCCAGTTGAGGTGTAGGTTCTTGCCCTTTTTGGAATTACAATGGCTTTACCACGAGCTCATTTTTCAATATTTGCCAAATGGAATATTGCGAGATTTTCAGCTCACGAGCAGTTTTTTGGCCATTAAAAGCTGGAGCGCTCTAACGATAGCCACTTGTGGTTTTCCAGCCAAATATAAAGAAATCACACTATCACGCTTGAATTCCATCACGATTAATTTTTTTTCTGGAAAATTCTCACCAAAATGCTTTTGTACGCTTGTAAACAATATAATGAGCTGTCACAGGAATAATTTTAACAGCTGTCGGACGAGTGGCTTAGAAATGACAGCAGTCTGAAGTTGGTTGCAGTTTTTTCATATCACCATGCATATATACTTTGTTAGGTCTTAAATTATTACTTCGATGAGTTACAAACGGAATGACGAACTTAATATACCCTGCATACTGTGTATCGTAGAGGGTATAAGAAACACGAGGTACCACTGCGCCAAATAATTTACCTAAATTGAATATTTTATTTTGAGGAATAAATCCACCAGCTGTGTTAAGAAGAAATCTTCAAAATAAAATATGAGAAGATGAGGGGTTTTAAAAGCAGACCAAAAGTCTGATATTTCTACATCGACAATTAATTACGAAAACTCGACTTTGTGTTTTTTTACAAACTCGAAGGTTGATTTCGACTTTTAAACATGTCAATACTAAAAGTAAATTAATCGATTTGCTTTGCAGCTGAACTTACTTATGGGACTTCCTTTACAGTATGGCTGTACCCGTCCACCATTGACACAATAATTTAAATGTCCAGTATTCTCTTCCTGACCCAAGTAGCCGGCATTTGTGTGTATTACTTGAATGACATTGGCATCGTCCAATGACAAGCGAAACTGATTACTTTTCTTGCGTTCTATTAGAGGTCTGGCCGGATCGAGGCCAATTATGCGGTATTGTTTGACATTCAAATGATTGCTGACCATGCCGCAAATATGGGCGCCCAACGAGTGGCCAACGCAGGTGATTTTCTCTCTGGTGGCCCCATAATGTGTTAGAAATGAATACATCTGCAAAAACAAAACAAATTTCAACTCAAATAATTTTTTTTTTTAATTCAATTTTCCGCCTTACCTGTGCCGTACACTGCGCCGTCAATCTGGTGTTTATCAGCGATTGCAAATAGCATGGATATTCAGTCAATGGCCTCCAATCGACGGTAATGACATTGAAGTCTCTCGATAGATATGCTTTAATAACAAAAGATGACAAAAAAATATTAATGGTTAACCATAATATTGAGTTTGTTGTTGTTGTATTTTCACGAAACTACAGTTATTTATTTAATTTAATATATACGCTTGAATTGTAGCCATTGCGACGGCTTAAAGTTTACTCACTAACCATCCCTTAAAAACTGCAAATGTTTATCTGTCGCCGTTCCATTGAAGCCATGGACGATAAATACGGTATCACGCTTGCTGCTGAAACCGCCTTGGAACAATGTCATAGGATTATGGATATTAATGGCAACACCATACCGTGACGATTTCCTGTAATGCAAGAAGTAAATAGTAATGAAAAGAAAAAACAAACTAAATTAATAAATGAGATATAAGATGTCATCTAAGATGGTGTAATGAGGTGTAAGGTGTGTGTTTAACAATTTATTTACATGTACATTGACTTTGTTACAACATCCCAACAAGTTTCTAGGTATATGAAGGTTAACGTAGACCATCAAATTAATATATCCAACTAAACATCTGTACGATAAAAAGCCAATCGTGGCCCACATTTACTCAAAAGCTCGGCCGAGGGGAATAGTAATATGTTTACGGTAGCTAGATTCGTTTTTACTTGTTTTTCTTGGTACCCAACTGTTTTTATGCCTTCCAATAAACTATGGAGGAAGGCTTCATTCCTTTTGTAATTCCTCGAAATACTCATGTCAGACCCAACAAGTATATATTTTCTTGATCCGTGTAATATATAAAATTCAGCGATGTGCACTTGTATGTTACGATCACGCTATTTTTAAAACGATTTGAGATATAAGTCTAAAATTTTGCACATGTGCTTATTTTTTAGTATATAGGTCATATTCATAAAAGAGCCATTTAAGTCTACCTCGGTATTTTACAATTTAACACACCATTTTTTACTGAAATGTTTAAAAGTCGGTATTTGTAGTTCGTAATAGGTTCCGATGATAGTAAATAGTGTATATATGCTAAGGTTTCCCCATAACCCAATACAACGACACTTGTAGGTATTTGATATTTACAATAGATAGCAACCACCGTAGCAGACAACTGTCTATATGGGTCCACGTTCTCCTATAGGCGGCATATAAGGGTACCTTTCGATATTTCGTGTTTTCATCGATTTGGTCATATTTTTCAACGGTTCTAATTATGCCCGTGAATATAAAATTTTAATATTTCAGCAAAGACAGAAATCACTCGTATTTTGTGGCGGTGCACAGGGGGTTTATAAAAATAATATATATTTTTTAAATTGTAATGATTTTTACTATTTTTTGAATAAACCAACGTCTTTTCAAGAAATTTTAAGATAAAGCAATTCTCCTACATTTATTTAACAGGAAAATTACACAATTTCCCGAAGTGGACGAAGAACCAAAATGGGGTTTGCGGTAGGGAAACTGTATGAAAATGCTGAATTGCACAAAAACTATGATAGCTGCATTATTGAGGCGATGCTCGAATAAAATGTTTCGAGGTGTATTTTCTGGATATATTTGCCTTATATTTCCTAATGATTTCAGATAATCGCATTGCATTATTGTGAAGGCATTAACTGCACTTTCCAACTTATTTCACTTATATTTTTAAATTTTCTATTTACTTAATGCTGGAATGTATTAATATTGAGCGCTTTTTATTCCATTCAACCTGAAATTTGTCATTCCGTTTGTGAAAACTCTAAATTTTCGTCGGATACCTAACAAAGTGTATGTATATTTTCGTTATAAGAATAGAGTTATAAGTCGTTCTAAGGATTTTCCTGCTCATCTGTGTTTTGAAATTTGGCATAATAGTTTGAATTGTTCCTAGAATGGTAGGATTTTCTATAACCTCCATATTACGCTACTCTACCGATATTTGGTGTTGTAATGAATTTAGCAACATTTTTCCATGGAACTACATCAAACTCAGTATTTAGAGCCTGTAATGCATTCTACTTTGAAGATTTTAACTGACTTGTAGTTTAAAATGGAATATTTCCAAATAATATAATAAGAGTCTGACACACTGAACATAGTTTATCAAATAATACAGGGTGAGATGAAAAGTCTGCAACCAACTTCAGACTGCTGTCATTTCTAAGCCACTCGTCCGACAGCTGTTAAAATTATTTCAGTGATAGCTCATTATATTGTTTACAAGCGTACAAAAGCAATAGTGTGATTTCTTGATATTTGGTTGGAAACCCATAAGTGGCTATCGTTAGAGCTCTCCAGCATTTAAATGTGAATAAATCTTTTGTGTCCCGTACCATCGCTCGTTACTGTGATGCTGGGAGCGTAGCCTGACGTCAAGGAAGTAAATGGAAGAAAACAGCATCATCAGCAGAAATGGTGCGAAAAGTAAAGAAGCGACTTACTCGAAACCCGCGCCGCAGTGCCCGAAAAATGGCTCGTGAGCTGAACATATCGCAATATTTCATTCGGCAAATATTGAAAAATGAGCTCGCGGTAAAGTCATTGAAATTCCAAAAAGTGCAAGAGTTTACACCGCAACAGAAAGAAAATAGACGCAAAAGAGGTAAAGAGTTGCTCCGCTAGGCCGAAAGTGGTGAACTGCCGAATTTGGTTTTCTCCGATGAGAAAATATTCGTTGAGAAAATATTCGTTTTTTAAACAAACAAAATGATCGTGTTTACTTGCCAAAGAGGTTCGCTGGAAATGTGCACCTTCGGTTAGCCACCAGAACTCATGCTCCGGCCATGGCGATGGTGTGGGCCGCCATAACAGCCGATGGTCGCTCTCCGCTTGTATTAATCGACCGTGGCATCAGAATAAATACCGAATATTATGGCGAAAATATTTTGAAGGGTGTATAAAAGCCTTGGGCACGCAAACATTTTGGCTGCAAGAATGGTTACAGAATGAGGTTCCTCGCTTAATTTCCAGCGCACAATGGCCACCAAAATCTTTGGATACCAATCCGTTGGACTATTGTGCCTTGGGTATTTTGGAATGCAAAATGTAAAAATTGTGGCGTTTGACTTTGTTGCAGGTATTTTTATCTCACCCTTTATAGCTCTTCCAATTTTGGAATCCATAGGTTTGCATATAAAATAAATTTTTCTCAGTGTGGATCTCCATTTAAATATATTTACTAAAATATAGATCATTTGAATGTCAAGCATCGAATGTAGGTGCCATGGACATTGTTAAATTTCCTGAAGATATTAGGGTGGTTATTAGCAGAAACAAAAAAATATACTCACTAAAGGGCTGGTATTTAAAGGGATAATTTGATTTTGCTAAAACCTAAACAATCCAGCTAAATTTTAACTATAAAAAAAAACTTCCATTATCAAATATTTACCATGATTTTAACAAAAACACCACAACCTGCTGCTAATGCAGACGGTAGTTCTCAGCAGCTCCCAGATTTTTGCTACGTCGATTTGATTGGAAAGAACCCACCTGAACAACCTGATATATAAAGAGTTTCTTATTTGATATACCAATTAACTCAATTGAACTGTTTATGGAGCAGGTGTCCAAAAGTGGAAAAATAAAATAAAATTAATTTCAATATATTTTTGGATAAAAATGTCACCTATCAATTCGATAGCAGCCAAAGAAGACAGACCACTTTAAAAATTGTCCAATAATGGTCTTTTTTCCATTTTATTTGCCTCCAGCCATAGCCATGTCTAATTTTTCTCCAAACACCTCCACAAATTTGATTTAGACTACATTTTTTTCTGTATAGCCGACAAACTTCCCAAAGCTATTGGCATAAATTTTTCTTTCATTTTCATTGAGATTAAATGGTGAATTTGTTGTAAACATTTCATTTATTTTGCAATGAAAGTAAGGCCATGTGGAAAATTACGCGAAAAACTTGATTTTTCCTTAAGCAAGGAACTAGTCTTTAGAGACAGCCAGTTGTTATTGAATTTGGCGGTAGATAAGCGTCTTAAATGCCAGCGACTTTCTTGTAGACAGTGCGCTACAGCAAAAATAGAAAATTGGTAGACACAACAGTTACAGACATTCAAAGGGGATTGTTCTTCAAATGCTAACGCAAACGTTTAAATTTATGGTGTTTTGACAAAAATCTTACTTTTTTCGGTGTAAGAATTTTACATTTCAGGATAGAAGGGTAGGACAAAATAACACAACATCCTCTGATACTATAAAATATTGGTCGTATAGTATCAATTTCATCTTGTGATTTATGGACTTCCACAACTGCACAGGACAAGTTGCTTTCTACATACAACCGCTAACCAACAAGCCCACAGATGTTCACCCAACATACATTGGCCACGGACTTTGTTGTGTTTTGTTTTCGTTTAAAATCGATGCCATAATTATTGAACTATTCCGCAGCTAATATTTATTTTGCCATACATATCTGTCTTTTCAAAGCTACATATTTTATTAACTTGACGCGTTAGAAATACAGGTTGGATGATTGGTGGTCACAATACCGCCGAAGAACTTTAAACGGAATTGGCGAGTTTTTTTTTTGTCACAATATGCGACCATCTCGCCCGAACACAACTTTCAGTAAAGTTGTCAGTTTTTTTTGTGGGTCATTCAATTGAGAAACCTGTTGATTTTTGTTGTTGTTATTGTTGAATTCAATATTCAATGGAGTTTATGTGGATCCTTGCGTAAAACCAAATGACCTAGATTTGTGTTTCCACAATAGACGTATCTCATGAGGGGAAACTCTTATTTTTAGTTTCACTTGGAAATGTTTCTGTAGTTTTCCTTTTTTAGAAATGTTTTTGTAGTATGCCTGTTTTAGAATGTAGAATTTGGCGAAAATGTAATTTCAATTTTGGTTTACAAACTTTCATTCAAGGTTGGGTTAGTCTCTTAGTCAATTATTTATGGCTAAATGTTTGGTTTGGTAGACAAATAATAAAATTGAGAAATATTTTCAATAGCACATTCATATTTTTTTAATAATTATCACTTTTGATGATTACCAAAGTTTTGAAAATAAATGTATATTAACAAGTATTAATATGTTATATTTATTAGTATTATTTTTCAAAACACGTTTCCACCATGGCACAGTAAAAAGGTCAGGTAGAGCTACCGCTGATTACTATCTTTTTCTAAATGTGCACGAATCCTGCTCAATTTTTGTTTGAAATTATGGTTTTGTAAAATAAAAGCAAACTATTTTCAAAATCAATGACTAGAAGCAACGTACTTTACAAAGGGCGCATCAAAGATATTAACCAGTTTTTCCATGGAATTGAAAGATTGAACAGCTTGAATTTTGTTTTTGAAAGAAAATTCAGGCATTTAATTTATTTTCCGCGCTTTTTA